ACTCAATTATTACCGAGAAAACACCGTAGAGCTTCCGTGACAACACAGTCGAAGGTCAAATTGTCGGAGATGGTGAACTCAAGGTGCTTTTATATTTGAGAGCATATAGGCGATGATGGAAAGTTTTAGGTAATGTTTTATTGAGGGGAAATCTTTTTCTATTCAGACTGTGCACTTTCAAGAATTCTAAATGTCATCTCGCCTAGCTGGGTTTGACATAACAAACAAAGACTTTCTTTTAGCTTTTCTCAAGTGCTGGTCGTAGCTCTTGATCACAAGTCACTTCTCTTTGTCTCTCCTTGTTATGTTGGATCTTCACACAAATTTGTGGGCGTACATCCGTGCGCAGGAGAGTATGAATAGATTTCGGACTGTAAACATGGAAAAGAATGAGTGCATAAAGATTAGCTTGGCTTCTGCAAAATTATGTTCTTGTCTGATGGTCCAAGCATCTATCCACCCTCAGGCTTTAATTACTGTGTGAGGATAATGAGTCAAATCCAATCAGTTCTCTCTCTTGCTCTTAATTTGTATGGAGCTTCTATTTTGAAGCCAACCGCTTCAGCCTCTCACACCAGCTGCCCTGGAGTGACACCAGGCCCCTGTCTTGTGTGTGTGTGTGACCTCTGTCTCCTGCACACTGCCACGTCCATGCAAATCAGCTTGTATAATTATTGAATTGGCTCATATCACTATCAGTGTGTGACAATTGGCAACCATTTCTCATGGATGACAGATATTAACACAGTTTTATATACCATGGGAGATGAGTCATTGTCTCACTGTGAGGGATTCCATCCACCTATGCATATGGCTGCTGCTAAGAAAGACACTTTGTCATTCGGCTATTATGAGTCTGACAGGCACGACTAAATGGCCATGTGTGTTTGTGTGTGCGTCTGTCTGTGTGTGTTGGCTAAAGAGACCCTGAAACCTAAATGGATTCCTGCAGAGTGAAGGACAATCGTAGCCCATGGCCAGTCCAAGCTTATCCTCTGCTCATCTCATCTCAGCTCAGCTCAGAGTCAGCCACAGCTCCAGCTAGGCCTCAGGCCATCTGGCTGGCACACCACCACACACACACACACACACACACACACGCACGCACACACAGAGAGAGAGAGAGAGAGAGAGAGACTCCGACTCTCTCAAGTTAAGTTCCATTCCTGTTTGTGAATACACCATTCAAAAATCTCTGTGTAAATGTAAGGTACATCCTCCTGTATTTACGCAGTGAAATCCACCTTAGAACTGTAACTTGTCAAAAAGTGGTTGTGTAGGTGTGAAATATGTAGGTGTGAAACACAATACAATGTGGCATAAGTGGGGATTTGCAGTGGTGCCAAAAATAGGCTAGTTATCATAGTTGCTGCCACCATTAAAGTGTATTTGCTCAATAATGACTGTGTTCAATTATGGCAAAGTATATACTGTAACAGCTGGGCAGGAAAAAAATGATCTGAAAGAGATAGTGGATTTAGGTTCATAGAACCCAATCTGCATAAATCCACACTAGTGATTTTTTATAACCTAGTATACATCATAAAGATTTAGTAGAATGATTATATTTTGTTTTCGCCTTTACCCCGAAACAAATCTGTCTTGATTAGTGTAGCTCAAGTTGATTAAATAAACACTTGACACGTCACATTTCAGGCAGAGAGCTACAGGTGATATACCAGACATACACACACACACACACACACACACACACACACACAATCGTATTGTTTATTTGAGGAAGATTACAAAAGAAAAAAAATGTGTCAAGCACAATTTACCTAAAACTCAGATATCACTCTGTGAACAGTTCAGATGCGGCATATTAGCCCTATATAAAGAAACGTGAGGTGTGACTGAGGATGAAAGAATCTGTGAATACTGTGAGCTAAATAAGCCAGAGAATGAAATTCAGTTCATTTAATGGTTTTTGGATTTTGTATCATGATTTACAACAAATACTGTTTAAAAAGGTTCATGTTCACGAAATGCAGCATCTTTTTGCCTGAAACATTTTTTCTAATTTAAACATGCTCATCACACATACCTTTAGCTTTACGTAGTAGATAAACACTTACTTCTTTTCTTTAACCTATAACCTTCGTTTAAATGCACTGGTGTTGATTGTGTGAGTACTTTGAGGGCAAAAAAAATTCCTTGTATTTGTGCACGTACTTTGCCAAGAAAACTGATTCTGATTCTGATGATAGGTGTTAAGAATGGAGTCGAATACCTTTTTAATTATGTTTATGCATTTTCTGAATATCTTTCTAAGGCACAGGAAAGGAGGAGGAAAGAAACATATGATAGATAAACTCTTCAGACTGTTCTGTATAGACTGTTAAATATGAACTGGATCAAATATAAAATGTTTGGCAAAGGAAGCAGATGCATTATTTGTGTTCTTTGGATTTGTGTACTATGTTTTGGGTCTAGAGGGCTGTGCTTGTATGTTTGTATACTTGTTGTATTTCCAGTGTGAAATATCTTCTGGAGCATTATTTGCGGGAAGTTTATATTTAATGTTTGGATGAGGTTTATGTTTGACTAGTGTCTAGTTTTCTGTATCTCTGGAAGATGCTGATGTTAGATGATGGGAGCTTACATGCCGTAATGTTTGATCTGTTGTCTGAGTAATACCATGATAATGGGATGGGTTATGTAGAGACAAAAACAAATGTTCATCCATCCATCCATCCATCCATTATCTATACACCGCTTAATCCTCACTAGGGTCGCGGGGGAGCTGGAGCCTATCCCAGCTGACTTAGGGTGAAGGCAGGGGACACAGTAAGCCAGTAGAAATGGTCAAAGCGAGCTGGGTTCTGACCAAGAGCAGAGGACTTTCACCGTATGTATATTAGTGTTCAGTTCAGTAGATGGCCCTGAACAGCAAGAAATATTTACCATTTTAAGTGAGCTTGGCAAATAAGTACATTTAATGTCTGATCTGCCACCTCTGGTGTGGACTAATGTTCCTGTTGTGTTGGTCCACAGTGTAAGTGGAATAAGTGTGATCACTCCTGGTGGCCCCCTTCACTTTTACTCTCCTCTTGGCTCATTGTACGGTTCTAATCGCTGGCCAGCTGTACGCTGCTGTGTATTTACACCACAGGGTAGTTAAGAGAACAAGGCCACACACTGGCACTACGCATTGTAATCCCACTGTGACACCAGAACTCTGTGTGTATGTGTGTCTTTATGTATGTGTGCTTGACTGTGACTGTGCACACTCGTCTGCCCAGTGCGTCTGCGTATGTGCTAATTTGCTTGTGTGGGTTTTTGCATTTGACTGTGGACTTGTTTGTCTGGCCTCGCCTGCTGTTTGCATCTCCGTGTGCTTTAATTAGTATGCGCTTTTGCATCTAGGCCTTTGTGATTTGGCACTGGCACTGCATGCTGGCGAGGCATAAAAGATTTGAAGTCTGTCTGTGCTAGTCATTCAGCCTTAATGGCGTTAGTTACACAACTGAACTGAAGTCCCCGCTGCATAAATGGGTGGCATTTAGAAATATGAGCAAGTCTGATGGCAGTGAATCATGTAGCACAGTGCTGCAGAGCATGTCTGGAATGACTGACATTGACATTGACCCAGATGGGCACTCCTCCTGAATGGACAGCGGCTGAAACTTAAGCAGTGCTAGCTCAGTGTCAGGAAAGGGAAAACAGCCTGGCTCTGTGGGTTTCAGCACTAACAGTAGTGGGGGAGAGGGGCTGAGTCAGGGCCCTTGTCTGCTGCTGAGCCCGTCTGGCAGGGGGAGTGCTGTGCAGTGAAAGCCTCCGTTTATAAAGAACTTCCACCCTGTTTAAGTGGAGCTAGCACCGCTCTGTTTAGATTTGACAGTATGCCCACTGTCAACCTAATATGTGCCATGTCCTCCCTGCTAACATCACAAAGGAGATTTCAGTCAAAGTCCTCTGGTCCTTCAGGACAGTGGACAGCTCTACACCTTGATGCCGCTCCAACTCTTGGGATGTTATTTTCCCAAAAGGAGTTAAGTGAGTTCAGGACCACGGACAGCAGCTCCCACAGTCAGCGGCATGAGACTCACTGCAGAGGAACACTGGCTGTCCTTCAGCTTCACTTCTAGATCACTCACTCTGTCTCTACTTCTATTCTGTTTCTGTGCTCCTACCTTCACCTGGGCTGTAAAGGAAGTTGGCAGCCATTTTGTTATTTTTGCGTGAGTGTGAGACTGAATGTAGAAGCAGTTGGGAAGGGTATGCAGTTATGGAGAGAGCTAGAGAGACAATGAGTGTCTCTCTCAGCACCTCTTCGCAGCCCTCTTTCATGCCTCTCAGCCTGGCTCAGCGATTAACCCTGAGTACCCCGCTGTCCCCGCTGACCCTTCTCCACACAGAGCCACAGCAGTACATTGACATGCCTCTCAGACGGCTGATTACCAGCAGTGGGTGTGCAAATGGTGTACACATCAGAGGTGAAAGTGTGCACAGATGCTAATTCTCTCTTTTTTTGCTTGTTCTACCGTTACTTCCTCTTCTGCTCAGACTGAATCCAAAGGTTCCACTCTGATGCCTTGTTGAGGTGGAAAAAAGATGCTAGAGAGGGCATACAGTTCTTCTGTGGCGTGGGGATGAGGATGATAAGCTGCTGCCTTGCTGTGTGTAGGAGTTTGTTAACATTTGAATCTCTCACAGTTTGTTTCACAAGTGCTGTAATATCTCATTGGAGAAGCTGGTATGTCTGCAAATCCCTCATGCCAATATGTGATCTGCGATGTTTCATTGTGGAAACTGGATGGGCAGGCTGTGCATCAACAGAGCTGAAATATTCCTGCTCTTTGAAGGCCAGTCAATAATATCTAATTTGTGTTTTACATGAGGACAATAGGAACTACTTCCAGTCCACCTGCTCTTGTCAAACACTGCACATAATATTTACAATTAGGTTGAATAATGAAGTGCCTCCTAAAAGTATTAAGGTTCATTGAATTATCGATAACTTTGCCTCTCTCCTTCTCTCCGCTCCAGCTCTGAGCCGGTCAATGATGCCCTTCGGCTTGATGCGTCGAGAGCTGGCCTGTGAAGGCTACCCGATCGAGCTGCGCTGCCCAGGAAGTGATGTCATCATGATTGAGACGGCCAACTATGGCCGCACTGATGACAAGATCTGTGACGCAGACCCCTTCCAGATGGAGAATGTGCAGTGCTACCTTCCCGACGCCTTCAAAATAATGTCACAGAGGTAACTATTGATCTGTTTAGATCTTGTGCGTGTGTTTGTGCAGAGTCAGAGCCTCGTATTGGCAGAGGAAACAAGATACTATTTCACACAACATAATTCCTCCAGAATTTCCTGCTTTCCCTCCTGAGGTGTAAGGCTTGGGCACCTTTGGGCAAATTGCACATTTTGAAAGTGAAAAGTAAATACAGCTCCTGCAGGAAGCAGTTTTTTTTTTTAAACAGTTGCATATTTAGTTTTTATTTTAAGTTTTTTAAATCATTAAGATTTTTAAATTAAAGAAAGAGACTTGGAGACTTTACTGAGCTGCTACTAAATAGTAGAAAGAATCATCAGCTGACAATTCCTAATGACAATTCTGGACATGATAACAAATTCTAACAAGCTCGTTATGTCCTAATAAGGAATGAAGTTCTGAGATTACAAACAGCACCCAAAGTTTACATATTGTTTAAGTATAGTGTAGTATAGTACTTTTAAGTATGTGAAATATAAAGGAACAGAGCATTAGCATAGTTAAAAAAAGGTTACGTGTTTGCTACAGAGCTTACATTGACTCTTATTCACTTAAAGAAAATAATTTAATATGCAGTTTGTCCATGAGTACCCAAACTTTTCAATACAGATTTATCTTGTGGGAAATACTGAAGTCAGCATCCTTTTTCTGAGCAGAACAGCACTGCATCCTGGCGAGAAATTCATGTGCATGGCTGTGAGAGGATGAGAATGCATATGTTTGGGATTGTTACAGGAGTATTTGTAGGGCTTCCTAACGCTGCTCTCTGTGTTTGCGCTCATCATTTGCTTCCTCTGAGCACAGATCAATGGAAGCCCTCTCCCAGCCATCCATCATGCATGTAATGGAGGCACTGGGTGCTAGCTTGTGGAGAGAGCAAGGGAGGGAGGGAAGTAGCAGGGGGTGGAGGAGAGAATTGAGAGAGGGGGTAAAGGAAGGAGAGAGACTTCTAGAAATGATGGGATGATAGAGTGACTGCAGCAGAGATTTGAGATATGAAGGGAAAGAAAGACTGCACAGGGGAGAAATGCTCAACGCTGGATAGAGAAGGATTATGTGTTGAGAATGAATGAGTGCGTGTGTGTGTGCGCAGATGTGTGTCCTGCGCGTCTATGTGTTTCTCGGGATGTGCAAACGTGAGAAGGCATGCGGCAGTGCGGTTTAGATGTAGGTATTATGTGCATATGAATGTTTTCCTTGTGCGTGTGGTGTAGAGTATTTGCCTTAGCCCCCCTCGTCCTTCCCTGTTCTCTCACCTCTAATTGCTCTCACTCACAATCCCCCAGGAGACGAGGCTGTTACGTCACTCGCCCTCTCTCTGCCTCTTCCCTCCCTCCTTGCTTCTCTGTATCCTTCATCCCACTCCTTTCTCCCCTTTCTCCCTCCCCCTCTCTTTCCCACCTCCCCTCGGGTGCACCTGTCACATGATCTAGTCTAGTGTGAAATTACTCCCTTCCCTACCGTTCCCTCTGTCTTTCAGAGCCTGAAGATGTTTTTTTAACCACTCTTCTTCGTCTTTCTTACAATGGCACTCGTCATTTTTTGTATCACTTACTTCCTTCCCTCTCTCTTTTCTCCCTTCCTCCCCTTGACTGTCTCATCTCACAGGTGTAACAATCGCACTCAGTGCGTGGTGGTAGCAGGGTCGGATGTGTTCCCGGACCCCTGCCCAGGGACCTACAAGTACTTGGAGATCCAGTATGAGTGTGTCCCCTACAGTGAGTACTGAGACCCCGTCACCCTCTCCAGCCTCCCCACCCCTCCTCACCCCATTCACCACCCCTCCCATCCCTTTCTCTGCCCCCACCTGAACCTCTTGCCCCCTCTTCAACCCCTCCCCAAACCCTCAAAAGAATGACATTCTTACACTGACATGTGCACACTTGCTCTCTCTGGATTTTCTCAACACAGTCAAAACAAAAACAGTCATTCCTCACCTGCTCTCTCTGTCTCTCTGCTCTTTCTCTCTCGTGCACTGCACAGGCACACACATGCACACACTCACAGAGCACTAAACCTTTTTTCTTCATTGACAGAGTGACGCACCAGTAGCTGAGAGGGATTTTCACATGGGGGAAGGTGCTCCACAAACACAGGGTCCGATAAGCACTTCACGCACACCCACTGCAAACATGGGGTCAGCCCTTATTGGCAATCACAGCAGTGTAACACACACCGCCCCACACTCACGCACTGATTAACTCGGGGGCATGCCACTGCCTTTATCTGGTGCCAAACACCTTTGCTGTCCCTCTGATTTCCAATAAAAATTAAAATTGGGCGCAGTGAGACTTTAAGGCAGGGGGTGTTTGTGTGTACGCCGCCCCTCACAATAGGAAATGTTAACACAAACTGCAAAGGGCTTATTTTAGACCCCATGACCTGGAGCACCACACATTTTAATGTCCCCATGGTAACAGCTGACTTCCTCACTGCACTGCTCAAAACTCCGTGGCAGGTGTGACATGTGCACATGCCTGCACGCGCACACACAAGTCTGCCTCACACTCGCGAAAGGGGGACACACGGTTGCTCTCTTTCCCGTCTCCCTTCGACTCCTCCTTTCTGAGCAAGCATGTACACACAAACAAGAGCACACTCGCACAGCCAAAGGAGCAGACACAGCAAGGATTACGTGGTGTTGTGTTGATCCTCGCTCATGTGAAAATCTCCGCTCAGTGTCCCCCCCCCCTCCCTCTCATGTATTATTACTCTCAGCATTGATCCCCTCACTGTGCAGGAGCACCTGGCTGGAGGGGAGGGGCAGTGGGGCTCCCCTGCACTGGGCAGAAGCAGAGTTGGGGTGCAGGAAAAGGTGGATGGGCGTATGAGGGTGTCGGGGTCGGGTGGGGAGGACAAGAGGACATTAATCATATCGGGGTGTGGGGGATGTTTAATTTATCAGGGGAGGGTATGGGATGATTGTCTCTTTTTTTTTTTTCCTTAGGTGCAGATGCTGTGGTGAGCCACAGGACTGAGATCCAGCCAAACCACTAACCTCCTTTATTCTTCTTCTTCCAACCTCTCACTCACGCTCACTTTGCATATTATCTTTCTCAGCCATCATCACCTCTCTTCGTCTCTCTTAACTCCCCCTTTTCTGAATTCTCCTTTTCTATCTTTCACTGTCAGCCTGCACTCCAGGGTGTTAAATCTTTATCCATCTTCCTATAAAACTCGTTTTTCTTCTATTTTTGCTCTCTGTCCGTCAGTCTACCACAGTATCTTATCACTCCATTCTATCCAGTTTCTTCTACTGTCTCTGTTTTTTGTTTTTTTTTACAGGTTGGACAAATATTTAAATATGCAACCATCCAGGGACTTTCAAGCACTTCTTTCAATCTCTGCTCTTCCTCTGCTCAGTGGTTTTGTGTCCTCAGTCTACCTTTTGAGAGACTTTGTTATGTCAGGTTGCAGCCCCAGTCACAGATAAGAAGTTGGGTTTCTTGCATTGGGGATTATTCTTTGGTGTGAATCTTTTCTTCACAGCCTTCCAAGTGGCAACAAGTGTTCTCCTCAAGTGTCCTCTAGCCTCTGTTCCCCTGCATTTCACTCGATTTTAACGGCGGTCACGCTGACCCTCTATAGTGACGTGACTTTGCTTGTTAGTCCTCTGATAGTTGGAGAGATGCTGTAGCTTGGTGTCCTGTGTTGTATCAGCAATAGAGGGTCAAGGTGGCGTAGCTTAGTTGTACCTGCTTTCTTCTCCTCATGCATTCTACCCCTGTCTTTTTCCCTCTGACTGCACAATGGAGCTTGTTCTCTCTCCGCAAGGCAATCAAAGGGATGATTAAATAGCTGCTGACTTGCATTTTTCGTCCCCGTGTTTGGAAAAAAACTTTGTTGATTGCGTCTGAAGTATGGCGCGGCTTAGAAAATTGGAAGCTGATCCCTCTATGATGAAAAGTCCCGCCTGTCTGAGGTGACAAAAAAGAGCCAATTACCCCTGTCCTCTGCCACTCTCCTCCGCTAAGGAAACGCAAGCGTGCTCCACTCATTCACACTCCTACACAAAAATAGAAACAAGTATGCATACACGGGTATGCACACAGCCCGCACCGAAGGCTGCTCTACGTATTTGTGTTCGTCTGACAAACTAAATACGACCTGACACATTCAGACTCAGAGCTGGAACTGTTCATCCCAAAACCTAGTCACCGTCGCACCACACGCCACTCAACTCGGCCACTTTTAATTACCAGGAGAGGGGGCGCGTCGCTCTCCTCAGTTCTGCCTCAGCAGAGATTTGTCAAGATTAATTGAATTTGCTGCTGCTAATCGCTCTGGTAATGCCCCATCGTTCACGTCTGGCTAGGGATGCTGGGCACTCTGGTATCATCCGAGGCTGACGCATGTTTTTCGTTGGTTGTCTCGACAAAAAGGTGAACGGCAGAGAGATGATATGTTAAGCCGGTGTGTCATACCAGCTGAGATTGTGTGCAGTCGTGTTGATGGCTGCGTGTGATGTTTGCATCTGACAGGGTCCTCTATGTGAGTGGCGCCTGTGTCACACGGACGCCATGTTGCCAGTCACCTGAAACGGCAAGGTGACAGCCAGAGCGGAGCTGACACGCACACACACACACACACACACACACACACACACACACCTCTGCTGGCGGCGCTCACACGAGCGTCCTGAACGTGTGTTTGTGTGTTGCTGTGTGTGGGATCGCCTTGGCAAAATACAACATCCGCCAACAAGTCAAATCATATCTCATCGAGTAAAAAAGCCCTGCAAGGCCCCCCTGCCACGTAGCATTGTTTTTGCCATCCGGAACAGAGCAAGACAAAATGGCTCAACTGAACTCTCATTTCACACTGTCACAGCCTGCTGGATTCCATTAAGACATCACAGATCCGTGGACACAGCTGCAGCATGTGTTTACTGCGGTGAAAAGCCTACACTGCAGTCTTAACACAGATGTACACCGAGTCAAAGTAAATCTACCCCACGAGAGGACTCTACCTGTCCCCCTCCCTCCTCCTTCTTCAGGACACAGTTCTACATCATTATTGATTCCTAATGCTCTCCATTGGGACCATCCATGCCAGCTATCCCAGAGCCATTAGACCTGGTGTTGTGCCTCTGCTATTTCATCAGCTGTGACTTATCTTGTTAATATGCACAATGCAGGTAACTGTACAGGCAGTACAGTAGAGATTCTGCAGAGCATCTTAGCTTTACTCCATATCCTCCACTTTTCCATTCATATTTTGTTACTCTGCCGCTGTTTCACTTTAGAAAATTGATTCTTCCCCACAAATGTATTCAGCACTGCCTATTCATTATGAGACATCGCTTTTTGGACACAAAGCCGCTGGAAATGATAGTTGACTTGTCGGGAAGAGTTTGTCAGTAGAAGGAATAATGGCATTGTAATATGACAAGTTTTCAGGGGAGGAGAGGAAACACTTTGATGTAGCTGAAAATGAAATTCTATTAATATGTATAGGGACACCATTAGACGTGGGGCTCATAAATGTTTGGTGAATGAGAAGCAGGAGTCTTTGCTCAGGCCATGGAAAGGGATGACTCCTAACCGTGAAAAATGTAAGTGCGAGAAGGAGAAAACAGAGAGGAGGGGGGGGATGAGGACGTAAGAAGCCAGAGAGGACACGCAATCTCTCAGCTCTGTAAAAGAGACAGAGCTGTTGTCCTGCAATGCTCCGACAATATGTGTGTGTATTTGAGAGAGTGTGTTTCTAGCTGTACTCATTAGTGTGGGAGTAATTGATAGGGTTGTAGAGAGCGCTGAGCAGAGTGATTAAGGGGAGAGAGGGCAGTGGCTTATTTCTCAAAAGAGCCCTGAAAGAGAAATGTTGAATGAATCAGACAAACAACCAAGGTGGCCTTAAACTAACCTTCAGCTCTCTGTGAGGACAGTTTGATGAGTTTCTGTCTCTTTTCTCTGTTTTCTGTGTGTGTGTGCGTGTGTGTCCCGAGGAATGCGTGATGATCTGGTGTGTGCCTGTGCTTTGTGTCTATTTTTCAGGACAACCAAGAATAGAAGAAATGGAGTCAAGAGAAGTCTTCCATCTCCTTTATGTTTTTTCTTTCTCTCTGCAGCATTGAAGAGGTTTTATTTTCCCTTTCTGTCTTTCTCTCTCTCTCTCTCTCTCCATGCCACTCGCTGTGCATCACACATCATTTTCCTCCTGCTCAGATAAACCCACTCTGTATTTAGCTCGCCATTTTTTAAGGGCTCATACTTGCATGAAGTGGAGAAGCTCAGTACGTGCGGCCAGAAGATCCCTCGACCATAGGGGGAAGCTCCATATGTTTTGGCTCTGCTGGATTCTAGTGTCTCCATGCACCTCCTGCAGCTGCTTCAGTGACGATGAAAGCTCTGGATGCTCTATGGCCGGTCTCTCCCTCCCCTAACCTTGGAGCTAATGATTGCACTCACAGTTGGTGGCGGGGATGTAACGCTTTTTTTTTTTTTTGCCACCGCCCCGGCCTCTCAGTATTTGCACTCGTTGCTTTGCCATGTTTACTCCTCTAGGCTGCAAATGGCTTCCATTCCCCAGGTCTTCGTGGAGGTTGTTTGTCCAGTTTGATCTTGGCATAAGATGATAAATGATTAGGGTGGCTGCTGATACCGATGCTGCCTCTGCCAAGGTGCAAGGCCGTCCCCCACACAGCTCAGAGTACTGCTGCTAACAGTCCGTTTTACCTTTGTTTTGCCTGCTGTTTGTCTCTTTACATCTATCTGTCTGTCTCTCTCTCTCTATTGGTCTTTCTCTCACTTTTTTTTTTTCTTTATGAGCAACCCTGCAATGTGTCGTGACAGTTTCACAGGACTCCCCCGGGGACATCAGACTTCCCACGACACATACACAACAATCTCGCTCGCAGCGGGGATCCACCAGCCATGTGCCTTTTGACACGTCTCTTCCCGAGAGACATGAAGATCCACTCGCACACCACTTGTGCCTCGGCAAACACAGAGGAAAGGCGGGTGTCAGTGCTGTGCTGTGAAAGGCGGAGCTGAGATCCTTGCGTGCTCCTCCTCAAACGCTGCCACATGACAACAGCGTCATGGATATTGAAGGAACCACACCTTACCTGTTCGAGTCAGCTGAGGCCTTAGTGTGACACACCAACCTATTGATTTGTGTGTGATGAGACCGCTGTAGACATTTCTCTCATCTCTCTTTTGTCTCTACCCTCTTTTTTTTTCTCCCCTCCCCCCAACTGTGTCTCTTGGTTTCTGTCTGTGTTTCTGAGGCGTTCCACTCTGTCAAGCCCTCCCTTTCCCCTGTTGTTTGTTCTCTTTTTCTTTGATGAGCCAGTCTCGGCCAGGCAAGCCAGCAGCTCCCCATTGATTGGATGGTCGATGGGTTGAGTGTTTTTGCTGGCTTCTATAGCAGGCATCCTGACTCTGTAAATTGAGCAAAGCCAAAAGCACTGCTTTCTTTAGATCAAGGGACTGCTCTAATGTCAACACAGACTGTGTTTGGAAAGAGCGCAGGAGAGAGGGATTCAATGATCTTGCCTAAGACAACTAGTACAGATAGAGACATATTCATCACCACCTTTCCATCCACCATTCCTGCATCTCTTCCTCTACCTTTCCCACTCTTTGTTTACTTCCACAGCTGAAGAGGCCTACGGCACAAAGATGCTCTCCCATGGTTTCTCTCTCCACCAGGTTCCTGGAGCTGCACTCGGGGCATAAGGGAAAATGGGAGGGAGCGAGGGAGGGATGTGGCAATAAGATGGGTGGAGGTGGGGTCGAGAGTGTGTGGTTGGGGGTGGATTGTTTTGTTGGGGGATTATTGATAAATCTGAAATGAAATGGAAATGGATTTAAACCCAGGTCAGGCCATTTTCCCCTTCTCATTTTCCATTTGAGCCATCCTTTCTCTGAGTAGCCAACCATAACACAGACAGATAACTTGCTTTAAAAAAAAAAAAAAAGACAAAGAGAAAGGACAGCATTTTATTTAATCTCAATTTTCTCTTTTTTCCTGCACCTCTGTTTTTCTTTCATTCTCTTTACTTTCTCTCTCTCTCTCTCTCACTCTCTCTGTCTCTCTCTCTCTCTCTCTTTCTCTCTCTCCATCTTACTGTCTTTCTCTTGTATCTTTCTATCTCCCTCTTTCTCCTTTTTCCGATGCTTGAATAGAAGTGGATCAAAAAGGTAAAGACCACAATGAACATAACAACCACAGCTCGCCCCTTCCTCCCTCCTCCTCTTCCTCCTCCTCCTCCTCCTCCTCCCTTGTCTCCCTTCCTCCCCCCATATTCCCTCCTAACCCAGCACCTTGTGTAGTGGTCATGTTTGATGTTGATATCCCTCCCTTTTCTTTCTCGATCTCTAATCGCCTCGTCTGCCCTTCTCTTTCTATCTCTCTTTGACTTGTAACCAAAACTCTAAAATCCTTCTAGATTTCCTCCTTGGTTCTGATGACATCAGCCTGACCTGCACGCATGCACACACACTCACACTCACACTCACACTCACACACACACACACACACACACACACACACACACACGGAAGGTCAGCCCAGTATCTGTGAGAGATAAACGAGAAATTAACTTCATTCCTTTCCTCTATGAAGTAGCACATCTGAGCCTAAGTGTACAGAAAACATGCATTCATATCATTTCGTGGATGGCAAATCTTTCCTCTTTTTTTTTCTCCATCCCTTTAAAAAACCATTTTCATCTTCACAGTGTTGCCTCACACACTTGACAATGCACATCTCTCATTATTCAGACCTCATATTCACATTTCTTGGATAGTGTTCCACTCATTTTGCTGCTGCGATTTATCTATCCCCACAGATCTAAGAAAAAACTTTCTCCTCTCTCTCTCTCTCTCTCTCTCTGGCTCTCTCTGTCACTCTCTCCCTTTCTCTCTCTCTCCCTCTCTCACTCTCTCTCTTTCTCCCTCTCTCTCTCTCTCTCTCTCTCTCTCTGGCTCTCTCTGTCGCTCTCTCCCTCGCTCTCTCTCTCTCTCTTTCTCTACACATTGTTCAACTGCTCCTTTTCTCCATACTGTGTCTCTTCCCTCCTTTTATTTTTTCGTTTCCCAGGACCGATTTGTCGTTGCTGTAATATTCAAGGCAAAAACATTGTGTTAAAGATAACACAGTAACTGGGCAAAAGTTGCTGTCAGATCATTGTTACAGTATGCCATTTCCAGGTTCTTCAGCATCCTCTCATTCTGTCACTATTCATTTTTTAATCAATCACAAATCCATTTAACTCCTCTTCTTTCACTGTCCCTTTACTTACTGCTTATTTTTTCTCCGTTGTGTTTCTCATCCTCCCTTTCTCTCGATCTCTTTCTCTCGTCTTTCTCTGATTGGTTTATCTCTCAGATCGCATCTGGCCATCACAAGCAGCCGCAGGCTCTTTTAAGCATCTCTTACACTTCTTTTCCTCCTCCTTCTCTCTCTGTCTCTTTGTACAGTTTGTCACTGCCACCTCGCTGTTTTCTTTATTGCACATGCACAGTAACCCCCTACCCAACCCCTGACCCACCCCACTCCCCCTTCATTACCTGCCCACATCAGTCCATCCCCTTTTGGTACCTTATGTGTTCAAGGAGAGGGGATGGGGGAGGGAGGTGTATCCCCCTTTGGGGAATGCTCTGGCTCCTTGTAATGGCTTCTCTGATGCAGTCAGGCTTTGCCACAAGCACTCCTAAAGAGCCCCAATCAGCATGGTCAAGCACCTCAATCACAAGCTTCTTAAAGAGCAAAGACAGACCTGACCCACATCCAAGGTCAGGACAAGAGTAGTGGCCAGCTTTCCAGCTTTCCAATGAGCCTTAACTCCCCCTCTCAGTCCCCCACCCTCCTCAACTCTCTCTGAACCCCCCTACTCACATCTGTCTCAGTCTCAGCCATTTCCCTGCCTGGCATCATGGCTGGATCCATATGTTGGAGGAATTAACTCCTACAGAGCTTGCCATTAACCGGTTTATGGAGCCCTTTGTCTGTCGTTGTGTCCATAGCTTTTCATTAACATGGATCATTGTCTCACAGTTTTCTTCCACCGCAAGCAGCCATTTTAGCTCACTCCCCCTGCTTGTGGTGGAGTAGAGAGCTACAAAACACCTCCTCCTCCTCCTGCTTCCACCTCACCCAACTGGTTATATTTATTTACTACTCTTCCTCCCACTAACACTAAAATGAATACCCCTCGACTGCTGCTAAACACACTTCCTTTCTCTGTTTATGGCTGAATTAATATTCCAGACTTGTGTTTTGCCCCTGTCTGTCAAATTAATCTTCACTGATTGATCAGCTGATTGACAGATTGGGTTCGGGATGGCGTGCATCGTGAGGTGATGTCACTGTTCAATGAATGTCCAACACTTTGTCAACCCACCTACCTACTGTGAGGCTATTTTAGGATGTCAGGCTATTATGTCGGCGTCAGCCGCCTTCTCCTATCCCATCATTCCCTCTTTCCCTTTACTCACCCTTTTTGCTGACAGTCTAGCAGGGTACACTACCCACATCATTACAACATTTCCTTTATCACTGGTGACAGGACCAAACAAGAGTTTTCTTATGTCCAGTTTGTTTGCTTCTGAAGGATTCGAGGCAAGAAAGAGAAGCAGTGTTAGACTACTGTGCACAATCCCAGCATTTCCATTGAAGGTGGGATTGAGGAGCAAACAAGGACAAAACCATCACTCGCACAACCATCAGTCTCTGCCTGTGATTTAGAAAAGTGAAAAGGAATGAGAGAGAAATCATTGCATTATGTGACAGGAAAATACAAAGAATGACTGTGAATGGAGAAAGACAGAAAAAGCAGTTGCTATAGAGACGATGAGTCAGGCAGCATCCCCTCATTAGGAATGACCCACCACACACGAGCACAGTCATGTGACCAAGGTAGTGCAGACACCCTTTTCAGTGGCACAGGGAGATAGGGAAGAGTGTGAGAGGATTGACTGTACATGCAGAAGTCGCTGCATTGTTAGAGCCAAAGAACAGAGAGGTGAGTGAGTGAAGCAGGTGGTCATGAATATAAAACACAGCAGCTGGTTTCAGGACTGTTATGGAGAGACAGTATCTCTAAGAGACCTGATTCAGAGCAGGAGGGAGGAGGGGTGGGGGGCACTCAGGGCGGTGGCAGGCTGAGCTAATGTTACAGCCATGCAGGCTTGTTGTTACCCTACCTCTCAAGTCTCAGTCAGCTAGTATAGGGTAAGCTCCTCTGTCATCTACTGTATCTGCAGCCTGTAGCCTCTGCAACTGTGTCCTGATCAACTTTCCTGTCACTCAGTGTCAGCTTCACACCGAGGCAGATAAGACTTTGCTTTCAACGGACACTATCTCTTGCTGTTGCCTGCTTTTGGTCTCAGTGAAGGGTATTCTCTGGGGTGAATGTTTGGGTTGATAAAGGTGCCAGTTTGACACCTGCCTCTTCCACTCTCTGGACAGTGTGTACTTGCATGCATTGTTTGAAAGCGTGTGTGTCCTAAGGGTGTATGTGTGTGGCTGTTTGTGTTGTATTGTGTTTTTACTCCTAAGACCTGATCCCCCTTGTAGTCTAAAAGGAAGCGGAAACACATTGGGAGCCTATTCCTTCTCCTTCCTTATTTCTCTCTTCTTCTCTCTGTCACTATTTGTCACTCCTCAGCAAATTAACTCACTCCTAATTCTCATTTCACAGGAAATAACTTATTTACTCTCTCTTACTCCACTTTTCTCTCTTCTCTCGTTTGCACACACAGAACACGCTCACATCCCTCTTTGCGCTTTCTTTCTCCTCTGTCTTTCTAAACTGCACACATGCATGCCTCTCCACACAAACACACACAAACACACACAGACACAGAAAGACACTCCTACACACACACTAATGGGCTAATGAATGCACCGACATACCATCAGGAGACTCACTGCACACTCATGCACACACACTAACCCTTAAAGCCCATTAACTGTCCAGCATGGATGCAGGGTACCATGCCATGCTCCATTCTGCCCCCTGCTGCCTCTTTGCTGCACCTGCCAGTAACAGGTGGGGGATTCAATTAGAACAGCATGCTCTCAGCAGTCAGTCCTGTGAGCACGCCATGACTGTGGACTGGACTGGGCAAAGGCTCGGGCCAGCAGAGCCTTTAGATCCCCGTAGGTAAAAAAAAAAAAAAAAAAAACCCCAGGAGGAGGGAAAAAAAAAACACAAACACCACAAGGACGCCACTTAAGAAACAGCTGCCAACCATTGGCAGGGGGTGTTTAGATCATCAAAGTCGAACATTAACCATCACCATGATGCTGTCACATCAAACATGAAAACAGCATGGAGTGCAGAAGACAACCAAAATGAAAAGTCTAAATTTAGCCTAAAGCTGTCAGCGCTCACTTTTAATTGCGTTACCAGTCGATCACAAATGGGTGCTAGACACAAATGGGAGATATTAACTGTCATTTTCAGGAAAGTTCTGGAGCTTTCATCACTTTATGCTGCAGCCTCATATTGACAAGTAACAGCTGACCTGTGCCTGGGAAAGGGATTATGGAGATAAATAGTCAATTATTACAGCAGTATTTCCCAGTATGTGTGGCAGTAATTGGCATGCTAGAGTATGATAGCTACAGCCTGGGTTTTAATCCCTGATAAGGTAAGTTCCATTAGCCATCTGGCTAGTTTATAGGGTAAAGAAGTGTTGTGTCTGTGCTGTCTAGTGACTTCACTGGGATGATCATGACTCCAAGATTTCCCTCCGCATCCAAACAGGAATTAATCTATTAATCTATCTATCTCACACAATCCCAGATGGCTCTACTACAGCTAACCTGCTCTAGCCAGACTAGGATAATGCCTAATCTCAAGACTTATGCCTAATGCTTAATGCCTAATGCCTAATACCTCATTCATACTGTGGTCATAATAGCCTTTTGTACTATAGACTCCACAGCTACGGCTTGGCTGCTCTGGCTTCCCGCTGCTACAATCACCCTTCACAAGTTAGAAGAAGAGAGAGAGAGAGAGGCAGAGCAAAGAAGAGGCAGAAAGAGCTAGTAAACAGGAAGGCAGCCAGGAAGGCTGGGGAGCGCAGGTCAGAGTTAATGAAGCCCCCTAGGCAGGGTTTGCAGGGTGTGAAGCGTGGCCACTGTTTCTGTTTGGCCTGCGAGTGTGTGAATGAGCATGTGTGTGTGCCTCTTGGTCTGTGTGTATAGCCTAGAGGCTGTTGATGAGCCCCTTTGACACTGGGCCCACCCAACGTCCAGTTCATTAGAATAAACTGACGTGCACTGATCGCGCGGGAGAGCAGGGAAGAGAGAGGAACATGGAGGAAGAAGGCAGAGGATGACAGACTGCTTCTGTTGTCTCTGCTGCACTGCAGTTTTATTGGGGTGATGAGCTCAAAAGAGTACAGACTGGTTCCAATTTAGTACATGGCTGGAAGGTTAGGTGCAATAATGAACAGAATCACATAGTATTTTTGGGAGGAAACTGTGTTGGGCTCCATTTATTGAGAGTAAATTGTATTGCAGAAAACAACTATTTTTGGGCCGTAAAAGATTGTTGTTCTTCTCCGTCTCTTACCTGTATGCAATGGCAAGTCATGACTTACCATCATATTCTGCCAACATCCCAATCACAAACAACTTATTGTCATATAAGGAGGTTTAATCTGGACATGATTTTTTATTTTTATTTTTTTTTAAATGTAAAGGGCAGTGGTTAAAACTGGCATCCACAAAGAATATACAAAAACAAAGTTAATTTGTAAAACAATGAAACTAGTACACTTGGATTCATTTCTCTGCTGTTAATGTGTAATGTTATGAAGCTCGACAGGTCTCACCTGTGCAATTTGACAATCTCAGTCATGTACCAACATGTTTATGTTTTTGTGCACTGAACTCAGCACTATAAATCCAGTAATGTCATGTTTGGTTTTGATTCTGTAACTGTCATTATGGCAAATACTAGCCGCTCCCATCAGACATAGGTTCAGCCTTCAATTCAGAGGCACTCCAACACATGCTGGGTTTGTTTCGTACTGACTATACAGCTGCAGTACTTGACATCAGTTAGTGGAATTTAAAAAATCTTGTTAAAACTCATTCAATCATGCTGTTGCTGTACAGTTATTTTTATTTTTTTAAATAATTGGTGAAGTGACCGTGAGTGTTGTCGTAGAGGCATTACAGATCTACTCTGCCTTCTTCTGCACTGTAGTGTTAATCAGTTTCACTGTGTTGTGACAAAAGCAAAAGATGCTTGTGTGCATATTAATGCTTTTCGAACAGGTCATTCTTTTCTTGATGGTAGAGAATAGGTCTCCATGTTTGTTTTCCTTTGTCCTTTATTCTACCTTGAGGCAAAGTGTTCCTGGCTTTGTTTATGGGTCACCTAGATACAGAGCCGTTCTGCTTGCTGTTTGTTTCTCTATTTACAGTACTATTGTACTTTTGAAGGAGTGTCCTACTTGTATTGGTTGTTTTTTTTCACTCATAGTTTTCTGCTCCCATAATAACTCACCCTTTACAGCCTTTGTTTGAAATATTTTGGAGCTGAGCGCCAGATTTAACCATTGCTCTGAACATTATTTTGCATATTTTAGTAACCCACATTCATATTTGCAAAGCAAACACTTCAGGCATCAGTACTTTCGAGCAAACATTTTGGTTCCACAATGGAGCATGACAAGCCTCCTTCTTGTGAAGAGTCTGTATTCAGTGTTTGTTTACGCCTGAGTTTGATTAGATTCCTGTTTGGTTGCCAATTTCAGTCCCTGTTGGACCACCACCCCATCCCTCCACACAGAACAGGCAAATTCCTAAGTGGCCCAGCCCCACAGATCACCAGGCATTATCAACGACACCATGACAGAAAGCAAAAAGAGAAAGCTGGATTTCCGAAAGCCTAAAGTGACTCCTCCACCTCTCTGTTGTGATTCTTCTCCTGCACCAAACTCCATGCAATATTCAAGACAGTTTGAGCCTAGACTGATCCATCACTCTAACAGTCACTGTGTGACAGTGTATGTATGCCTGTGGGTGTGTGCATGCGAGTTGTGTACTGTCCTTGTGTGAATGGCAGCAGCCTGTGTCTGTCTGTGCATTCGTGTGTGCATGCCGTCTGTATCCAAATGTCCCTGCAGTGTCCAATTAGTTCAGAGATGCATTCAATCATGAGGTGACCAGCAGGTGTCTGGTTCTGTTGCAACCCCAAGCCAAAGAGGCACATAAATAAACTGGCAGAGGAATACGAGGGGACTCCTCAGCTGTTTTATTCTGTAGTCCCTCCAACTCTCCTGCCCTTGCTCTCACTCTCTCTCCCTCCCTCCCTCTCTCTCTCTCTCTCTCTCTCTCTCTCTCTCTCTCTCGCTCTCGCTCTCTCTCTGTGTGGCTGGGACCTCTGTGATGTCAGAGTGGTGAGGATGCCAGCAGCTTTCCTCATAGATCACCTGACACGCCCGTTGGTCCCAGGGTACTCCCTCTGTCAGGCAGGGACACATGGCGTCAGCCAGCCAATTTACACCGGTCCCCAGTGAATGACCTCCACCTGCCTAAAATGGACATCCTCTGTGCGCGTGCGTGTGTGTACTTGTTTGGTGTATACGGACTGTGTATAAGGGTCTTCATGTCTGTTTGGAGATGAGCTGTTGTTCGGCTGTGTATTTGTGTGTGTGGTGTGCATGTGGGTGTGTGAGCCTGAGCTGAAGTTGCAGAGAAAGGGGAGGCCTAGCCAACCTCACATCTTTACCCCAGGATGCTTTTTTCTTTGAGGCATTACTCTTGACTGAGAGCCAAATTTGAGTCCTAATAAAACAAGCTCCACAATTACTGTTTTACCACCCAGTGGCAGAGCAAAGAAACAGAGGCCTTTGAAATAGAAAATGCACAATCAAATAAAACTAGGCCAAGATAAATTAGATTAGAGACTACATCTAAGCCGCAGCGGCAGCCAGAAATCTCCCATTTATCATATCCAAACGTTTTCCGACCACAATGCTGAACTTCTACAAATGAGCTTTTATATGTTCCTTCATTTTAAATCTGATAATGTACCTCACCTCACTCCCCTTTCCTCCTCTCTCCCATTCTCCTCCTATTCTTTGTCTCCTTTTCAATTCTCAACTTACTTTTTTCTGCTCACATCTTTTCTCCATCCCCTCCATGTCTCTTTCTTCTGTTCTATATTCTTTGGTCTTTGGCCTTTTCCCATTTCCTCTCTCCCTCCCCTGCCATCTCCATGATATCTTTCATTTCTGCAATGCTTTGTTTTCATTTTGTGTCTCTTCCTTTCTTCCCCTCTCCTCCTCTCCGCTCCAAACACCCCTCCTCTGCTCCAGTATTTGTGTGTCCGGGGACGCTGCTGAGGGTGCAGGTGCCCAGCTCTCAGCAGGAGGCAGAACACCAGGCAGGGGCATGGTGTAAGGATCCGCTGCAGTCTGGAGACCGTCTGTACGTCATGCCCTGGACCCCCTATCGCACTGACATGCTGTATGAATACGCCTCCTGGGAAGACTTCAAACAGAACCGAGCCACCACCACCTACAAGTGAGTGCGCCTCCCACTGTCGAGGATGATCAAATGGCATCTGCTGCTGTATTGATTAATTGGCTTTTCATGCGGATGTGGTTGGTGATAGCAGAATGGTCCCACTGTGGTGTCTGCGTGCTCACCATGAGGCCATCTTGTGCCATGCAGAGTAGATAAACTGATTTGTTCATCTGAATTTTTGCCCTACTCACGAGGTTCTCTCTCAACAGGCTGCCCAACAGAGTTGATGGCACAGGGTTTGTTGTGTACGACGGTGCTGTGTTTTACAACAAAGAACGCACACGAAACATAGTCAAGTATGACCTACGTACACGCATCAAGAGCGGTGAAGCGATTGTCACAAATGCCAACTATCACGACACCTCGCCCTACCGATGGGGAGGGAAGTCGGACATTGACTTGGCCGTGGATGAGAACGGCCTCTGGGTGATCTACGCCACTGAATCCAACAACGGACGACTGGTGGTCAGCCAGGTGGGTTAGCATTGATGCACAGAAGGGGATGAGATGCAGATTATGAATGCAGGAGTGGATTAAATCAAAATCTCATTTGACTAGTCAGGCAAAAATCTCATAAGTCGCACGTGAATAATGTACCATTGGGATTACACAAGTACACTAACAAATAAGATAAAGAGATGTTGCTGGACAAAGAAAAGAGTCACATAAACATAATCTTCAAAAGTTTAAGCATAATTTCATATCTCATCATACCAAAGCACTGGTTGTCACTGATATGGTAAATATTTAGTTTGTTTATTTTTTTCTGATTTCAAACATTGCGTGATCTAGTAGCTTATAATTATAAAATTGTGGCATTGCTTTACCGCCATATACAGTACTGCACATATATTTTTAAACATATCATACTGCTTATCTTCTGTAGTACAAATTCACATATCGTCGCCGTGCTTACTCGGCAATCTCGAAAATGTGATCCATCACTGTAAACTGGGGAGCATTCATATTTTAACACCAGTTGGTTCTTTGTTTCTTAACAAACAAAACTGCAATCAGGCAGCAAGTTCCCACACAAACAGAGCTTAAATTAATGTGTTGTTCAGACAGACGGGTCCCATTTATTATCACTATCTTTGACCTTAGCAGGAAATTGTTTTTCAAACTGTGTAAGTTAAACTATCCATCTAAAATATCAAACCCTGCATGAACTATTAGAGTGGAGAATAATAAAGCGACACAGTAATAAACCACAAAGTGATCACTTTCAACGTCGATGAATTTCATTTATTATTTTTCCTACCTCAGACTCATAGAGGTTTCTATCATGCAGTTTGGAGGTGTTTTTCCAACATTTGAGATTCCCCTTAATTGGGTTATGTTAAGAAAAACCATAATAAACAACTAAACATATTTACAAGCTGCACAAATAGAAATTGATGTCAAGAAACAAGATTGTATAACCTCCTTAACCTCTTGAACTCTGTGTACTCCCCCAAACTGAGCCATCCCTTCCAACTCTCTAGAACTGTAGTTTATACATTGAGTTTTTACCAAGTTAAGCATTTCACCTTTGGCACAGGTGAACCCGTACACCCTGCGCTTTGAAGGCACCTGGGAGACCAGCTTCGACAAGAGGATGGCATCCAATGCCTTCATGGCTTGTGGAGTGCTTTATGCTGTGCGGTCAGTCTACCAGGACGATGACAGTGAGGCAGGTGGAGACTTGGTGATGTATGCCTACAATACCAATCGTGCGCGCGAGGAACCTGTCAACATTGCTTTCCCCAACCCCTATCAGTACATTTCCTCTGTGGACTACAATCCTCGAGACAACCAGCTTTACGTCTGGAACAATTACAACGTGCTGCGCTACCCGCTGGAGTTTGGACCACCAGACCCCACCACTGGTAAGGAGTGATCCTGCAGAAAGCAAATGGAAACAAAGCATGTGAGACATTTTGTATTTGTAAATCGAATTCGCTTACCTCTTACAACTGCGCTACAGGTTTAACCTATAACTAAACTGTAAAGGTCTAAAGCCAAGCTAATAATTCATAAGACTGTAAGATGAATATGTACACGCTAATAAAATTAACCCATATTCTCTTGACACTACCACAAGTGTCATAAATAGGATTTAGGAGTACAGACCTCACAGTATTTCCTTCGAAGAAGAAGATGTGGAAGAAATTCTGTATTTTGCATATATCAAAGATGAATTCATTAAAAATCATCAGATGTATTAGGAATGGCTGCATTTCTCTTACCACTATTTTATATCTATAAAACATGAGATCATTAAGAAGAATCTTGTTTGTCCAGTGAGAGTGGTTGTTTGATTTAGTAAAACACACTTTTCATCATATAAGTAATTTACTATGCTGTAATGCATAATGATGCTTTTTGCTTGATCAAGGAACACTTCAAACAGGCCATGCAGCCTGTGTTTATCTGACATTTGGATGCCTCAGATATCTAATCATTATTTTTCCATCCCCAGCCATAGTTACAGTAAAGAGTAGCCTCTCAGGTATGACTGCTGGAGCATTTCATATCAACTTCACTGTGTCATGGATAATGAAAAAGTCATTCCGAAATGATAAGGGGGAGGATGAAATGGGAACGCCACACTGCATTTTGGCAGTCCATCAGTATGAGAGGGTGGTTTGGATGTACTGTATATCTGAGCCGCATAAAGGCCTGTATGAAGCTCGGATTAGGCCCAGAGAGAGACGAGGCAGAGACAGACGGGCGGCAGCACTCAGAGAGTTGTGCACCGACTCTGCGTTTGATCAGTTAGGATTTTGTACTTGTGATGTGTTGCTTTTATCTTCGCATTAGGTTTGGTTGTTAGTGATGGTGACTTCTCTGATACATTTGATAAATTATTTACTTCTCTCAGACTTGTGATGATGCTTTCTCGCCATCTCCTCCCCTGCTTCTTCTCCTCTCTCTGGAGAGCAGGCTTTGAGAGCCTCAAAAAAGTATTTGTCACCCCAATTATTGTCAGAGTAACTTTTGAACTCAGCTTCTGAGAGACATCTTACATTCACATGCATGTGTCCTTCATTCTCTTGATCTCTTTTCTTTGGCTTTTGCTGTCAGGTTTTGCTGCTCTCTTATAAAAGCTCTTACATCCTCTGATAAGTCTCTAACTCACCCTGTTTCTCATTTGTCTCTCTGAAATACTTGGGTTCTCTCAGGCCCTCTGACCACCACCCAAGTGACCACCACCCTTCCAGCGAGGCCGTTTACCTCCAGCGCCAGTCCCTCTACTGCCCGGCCTCTGGCCCCCACCTCACGTCCAATCGGCTCCATCAACAAGCATCCTGATCTTCGACCAATCACAGCCACTGTGCCTGTCACCCGCCGACCACCCCGTCCTCCTCAAGGCCCAGAGCCTCATGTGTGCGAGGCCAAGCTGGTCCGTGGCGTCCCGTGGCCCACCACACAGCCAGGAGAAACAGTAGACCGCCCTTGTCCCAAAGGATCTCTTGGTGAGGACATCTGCATGTGGATATTTTTAAACATCCATGCGTTTTTCCACTCCATGAAACAAACAACACGTGTGTTTCAAGTTTCACTGTACGTCCTACATGCATGTGGGTGTATGCAATATATATCTGTGCACGTGTCCAAATGATCAGCATGTTTGTGCTCTCACACTCGTGGGGGTTTTTTTCACTGTTGCCTTCTTCTGTCCGTGCTTCGGTCTCACCAGTAGGCACAGTCCCCTAGGACTCGCAGATGAAAGCTTGTCCTCCTCCAATGAAAGGCTCATCTCCCACAGAAACAGAGCTGATTGAAAGTGGCGAATAATGAAATGAAAGGCCACACAACACAGGCTTCACCTCCCTTCATGCTAGCTGCTATACCTCTAAACATCCAGCCATAAAAAAAAAAAACTCTCTAGTCCCAGAAAAAAAGCCCCCCCCTCCCCATCTTCTCCTCCACTCCATTTTGCTGTTTCTTTATGTTCGCTCTGTGTTAAATTAGCAGCTGGCTTAATTGCCTCGTCTTGGCACAGCTCTCAAACCTAATCTGTGGTCGATGGAGGAGAGTATAGAGAAAAGTGGGAGAGAGGAGAGAAAAATCAGTGGGAGAGAGAAAAAGGGTGTATAAAATGCAACGGCACATCTGCTCTGATCCTTCTACTACTATGAAGCGATGCTGCATTGTCTCTGTCGTCTCTGCTCTTCCGATCTGCTTCTCCCTCCCTCCCTCCCTCCCTCTGTGGTATCTCTTCTGTTTTTTTTTTCCACCTTGTCTTTGTGACTTGATGTTGGCTGTTTGTGTTAGCTGCAGCAGATAGACCCTTCTCTGGTTTTATCCCCGCGTGGTGTCCTTTCTCTGAACCCTCATAAGTGAACAGAAAAAACCCAAGCTGGAAATGAGGTTTGGTGGAAGGTGCTTCCCTTCAGGTGTTTTTATTTGACAGTGAGGGATCATACCTGATGTCTTTGGTGTGTGTGTCTGTGCGCACAGAGTAAATGTTATGTGGTACATGAGCATATGTTCCTCTTAAATCCTTCTTTTTAAAGCATGAAAGCCCTGTTCTGCTGCTGTCGTTTTCTTCCTCCCTTTCTCTTCCCTCACTTTCTCACTACCCCATACTCCATTATTTAACCTTTTTCACTTCTGACCCATTTTCTTTGGGACTTTTACTCAACCTCCCTTTCCCTCTCATCTTCAAACACTTAGAGTATTGCATTTTTAAAATTCATTTCCTTCCATTTTTCTTGGTTAAAAAAAAAAAGAAAGAAAAAGCTATCACACTTACATTTTTTGCGTTCATCCTTCTCCTCCACACTTTCCCCTTTAATTGCAGGAACCTAATGCTTATTATCTCTCCATTACTCTCCCCCCCACCCCCCAAATTTCTTCTTCCTCTGCTTCTTTTCTCCAGGCATCGCTTCGTTCCAGTGCTTGGCGGAGCAGGTCATGTGGAACCCACGGGGTCCTGACCTGAGTAACTGCACCTCCCCGTGGGTCAACCAGGTGGCCCAGAAGGTGAGACCTGGAGCCGTACCCCCTGGCCATAGGTCTGTCCCTTTCCTCTGCCCCACTGCCCTGGCCGGCCTCCCTGTCCACCTCCACGTACACATTAACATATCTCTAAGGCTGTCCTGATTAAAATACAGACTCATTTCAACTGGCCCTTCATTACAAGGCATCTGCTCTTAATGCTTAATTAACTCTATTTTTTCACTAATATACTTTAATTACAACCTCGTTAAATTTTTTTTTTTTAAATCTAGCTTCGGGTTTCACAGCTTACAAAGAACTCTGGATTGAAATTTTATTTAGTTTCACTTCAATATAATTTATTATACCTGTGCAGTAGCTCAACTCTAAATGATGCACCATGGTTTTAACAAAGCTGAATACTATTAAATTATTATACATTTCCAGATTGTGATACAACACACATTGTATTAATCTGATCATTTAGCAATTTTGACTGCAACCAGATTTCACAAAGTCCTAAACTATGTGAGTTAAATGTACACTTGTTAACACTGCTACGTTTTCTGCTGGAGAAGCTTTGAATATTTAGCCATGCAAACCGTCGATCGGCTCTCTTAAAGGTTTTTTAAGTGTGTGCATGTGCCTGGAAGGGTAAATAGCACCACTCTGAAAAGTAACATCATTGGAAGAGTCCATTATACCTTCTCCTTTTGGCAAAAATCAATTGCAATTGCAAGGCGCTTTCTAAGGGTGTAATTTGCAAGTGAAACCGTGCTAGGGAGAATAAAAACTTCATGATGTGGCCGTGTTTGTTTACAATGATATGGGAAAAGCTGCTAATAAAGAGGGAAATCTGATTACTGAACAATCAGCATGTAAACTGAGGGTTTTTTCTGTGTACACAGCACATGTGGTGTCTTGTGACGGTAGCATTCATGTGAATATTTGACAGTTTGGGATGCCGTGACAGATCAAAGCAAATCTGTTTTGTGAACCTTACACTATCACTGTATGAAAACAAGTGGGTATATGTATGTTTGTTGTTGTGTAGATAAAGAGTGGGGAGAACGCTGCCAACATAGCTAGTGAGCTGGTGAACCACACACGGGGTCGGATCCAGGCCGGAGACGTTAGCTCCTCCGTCCGACTGATTGAGCAGCTGCTGGATATACTGGATGCCCAGCTTCAGGCTCTAAGGCCTGGAAACAAGGAGTCGGCTGGACGAAACTACAACAAGGTAGAAGAAAGTGCAAACACATGCATATATACACACATACTCCCAAAAAATATTTAATTCAAGCATTAGAAAAGAAGGTTGAGGTTAATGTGAATTTACCCCTCGAGTGCACATACAAGGACTGTTAGGTTTTTAATTTACAATTTTTTTGTTTAGTTGTTTAATTCCAGGCTTTGTTTTTTCCCTTCCAGTTCCAGAAGCGAGAGCGGACCTGTCGGGCGTACATCCAGGTAGCTTTTCTCTTTTATCTGCCTGCTTTACATGCCTGTGGAGTAGGACTGCTCTGTGACTTAGAATAAATGAGGGAAGATAAATCCTTGAGCAGACTAGGTTTGTGGATGAGATTCCTTTTGCTCAGTGCTCTGTATTATGATTGATACTGCCTTTGGAGTCATCACTTATAGAATTTCTGGTTTGTGCTGAAGAGCAGCATGAGTAAGATTTGGAATAACTCCTGGTATGGCCATGCACAGTTTTTAAATGTTGAAGTATTTCCTAGAGCCACTAAAGATGAGTTACAGTTTTTAAATGCTCGTGGTGTACATAGATTTGAAATATGGGCTCAGCTAATGAAGAAGTCATCTGTCTGTGACACAATCTTAGCTTTGTTGCACTGTAATAAAGCTTAAACGTATAAAGCTGGCCTTGGCCTCGTTGTGTTGCACAATAAGGTACAATATCTGTCGCTCTGAGAAAATGTAATTTGACTATAGTATGAAAGGCTGCAGTTTGTGTTACTACACCCTACTGTGCTTTTTCAATATTTGTGCAATATCTCCGGTTCTGAGAAAGCTGTAATCTAATATCATGAAAAGGCCTTGTGTATGCTTCTCTGTAATGATGAAATGCGGCACTCTGCAGCGCAGTCTTTTATGTGTCTTGACCTGTCTGCAGCATACTGTAACATGACCCCACATCTTCTGATCTCAGTTGGTGCAAGATGAATGTAAAGGCTGCTCTGTAGTATGTTACTGTGCCATTATTTTTTTGTCACTCGCTGCAAGGTAGCTCAGGATGATAACCGCTGATCCAAGGATAAACCAAAAACACCCTGTGTCTTTTTTCTCGTGTAGCGGGTAGAGTGCATTCTGATGCTAAATTCATTTTCTTAACTGCAATGGTCTTTATTCTACACAGCAGTCAATCCTTCATTTTGAGAGGCCTGAGCAAGAGAATTACATGATTCATCAAGCAGGCTACTCCAATAAATTGGATAGCTGATACAACCATCAAAATTGCCATTAAATGAATTGTAAGTGTGAAATAGAATGGTAATATGTCTGACATTGCACAGTAATAAATGTAGTGCAGGGGAGTGGTGAGTTTCTCGGAAATTATAGTGGAATAGTAGACTTTGTTCTCTCAAGTGCTCATAGAATGTGGTTTAACTTTACAATAAAATACACAAAATGAGAAATTACCAAGGCAGTGATGAACAAATCAAGAACTAACAGGTAATTACTAAGTAGCTAATTAATAGCTAATAGCACTTCCTGAGAACCGAGAACAGACTGCTAGAAACAGTGTTAATGAACCAGTGTGTAATAATTAGTTACTAGAAAGCCAGAATTAGGTTTTCTCAGAATTGGGTGCTAAATGACACAAAACCAAGAAGCATAACAATCCTATTATGAACATGTAATGTTGTGTTCCCTTGTGTGCTGTTGAGCACAAGTCTAAGTAGGTGTTACCTTGATGTTACTTTACATTACAGTTTTGTGTCAACTCATGTCAAGTACACAAGTGGTAGTATGAAAATATAAAACATACTTTATTCAGTGCGTCTCCATTTAGCTCATGTTTAGAACTGCCCATTAATTAGTTAGTTCACCGTGTCCCTCTTTTGTCACATGTACTTCTTGGGTTTTGTGTGCCTTACTGTAAGGTGTTCTTAGTAATATTCACATTGGCTCATATTATTAATTCTATTAACACTAATAATAACACAACACCTCCTGCGTGTGCCAGGCGGTGGTGCAAACAGTGGACAACTTGCTCCGACCTGAGGCTCTGGAGTCATGGCAGGACATGAACAGCACCGAGCAGGCTCACACTGCCACCATGCTGCTGGACGTCCTGGAAAAGGGAGCTTTCCTCTTGGCTAACAACATGTATGGGAATCGCTTTTCTGACCGGGCCCCCAGCATTGGTAAGAAACAGCATTAATTGCATTAATTATAGCAAACATCTAGATGAACCCGACTGTGCCTCCAGCTTGCTGCTCTAAATTCCTTCTGAGTGTTTTTTTTTTGCATCTTTGACAGCAAAGTGGTTTTATTAAAATATCTGCTTTCTGTGTTTCCACCATCAGATCTCGAGGTGCATGTTGTAAACACAGAGATGGACCTGCAGGACTTGTCCTTCCCGCAGAATTACGCCAGTGACAGCACCATCCAGCTTTCAGCCTCTACCATCAAACAGTACAGTCGCAATGGTCAGCAACCCTTACCCCTCCCTGTCCTCACCCCGAGGACTGAAAAATTGCACTGTCCTGTTCAGCCCACTCTCTTATGTTTCCATTTGCATTTTCATGCAAGCTTAAAACAATCTGCATGCAGTTGACTAAGTTATTGGTTCATAATAATAGGCTAATCAGATTAACAAAAGCGCTGAGACAATTTCTTTTCTTGATGGTTTCTTAACAGCAGTCTTAATAGAATAGCTGGGGAGGCGTGTAGATTACAATCGGCCCCAGTCTGACAGAGCAATCTCAGCACTCCCTCTCCTCTCTCTTCCCCATTCCATTCCCTCGCTCCGTCTTTCCACCATCTTATCCCCCTCTCCCATCTTTCTTGTTTCTAACACCCCCCCACACACACACACACTCACACACACACACATGCACGCACACACTCTTTGTCATCCCGCCCCCCCACCTCTCCAACTACCCTCCTCCTTTCCATGGCCCCCTCATCCCTACCCTTTTCTGTTTTCTGTCTCTGCTCGGCTCTGCAGTGGGAACGAGATTAGAATGATTGAAACAAACGCACATGAAATATTCATATGGAATAATAAGAGATCTGTGAATGCTTGAGGGATGAATGTTCCATTGCCCTCCACATTAAATCTCGCTCTCTTCCACCAGTCAAAATGAAACGGTCCTTACCATCATTCTAACCTTCACTAACTCTCTCTCTCTGTCTCCCTTTCACTCACCCTGTCACTCCCTACTGTCTGTCTCTGCCACTCTTGCTGCCATTACCATATTATGCCCCCACTGCTGTATTTGGCATCCCTCCCTCTTTTACTATTCTATCTGTATTTTCCCTTTTCCTGAAACATCTGTTTTTTTCCCACCACTCACTTTACTCTTCACTCTTGTTCCCCCGTTGTTCCTCTTCATCTTTGTGTGTTTCTCTCCAATGCGCAGGACAAGTCAAGGTGGTGTTCATACTGTATAAAAATTTGGGATCCTTCCTATCCACCGAGAACGCCACAGTAAAGATGGAAGTGGACGGACTAAACCAAGATAAGAAGCGCTTGGCAGTCAACTCCCACGTAATTGCGGCTTCCATCAACAAAGAGTCCAGCAGAGTGTTTCTCACTCAGCCGGTGGTCTTCACACTCAAACACCTACAGGTAGCCTCATTTAAATTTTAATTGAATCGTCACCTTGATACATAAACCTTCGACATATTCCTTCATCCGTCTCTATGTCTTTTTCTGCAGTTGGACAACTATTACACTCCAAATTGCTCCTTCTGGAACTACTCTGAGCGCTCCATGACGGGCCAGTGGTCATCGCAGGGCTGCAGGCTGCTGGACACCAACGACACACACACCACCTGCTCCTGCAGCCACCTCACCAACTTTGCAGTGCTCATGGCTCACCATGAGCCCGATGTAAGTAAACAAGGGCGTGGCAGCAACACGGTTAAAATGGAAGCCGGGCAAATTTATTCAGACGTTCACTCGCGTGAGCATTAGCGTTCACTCACTCTTAGTCACACACCCTCACACACATGCACATTAATGTTTCTTCTCAAGGCTGACAAGCTCTTTGTTTTGAATTTTCTCTTTTTTTTTTCTTACTGCTTTCACTCCGACATTCAGGGAGGCACAGGCTTACAAATTCATGTCCCTCTACTTCTAGCTGACATTCACATGAATTTGAATGTCATGTATTATTTTTTTCAGGATGTCTTGTCTCTTGTCTTCACACTTTAGCTCCTTGCATATATTTACAAATATTAAATAAGGCAATTTGGCTCTTTCTCTCCCCCTCCCCCGTTCCATCCATCCCCCTATTGTTTCTACCGCGTATCTCCCATCCCCCCATTCTTCTAACTCTTTGTTCTTTATTTTTTTCCATCTCTATTTGTCTGATTCTGCTGCATTTCTATGTCCGTCTGCCTTCTCCCCACCCCCATCCCTCTCCACCATCTCAACCCTCCATTTTTTTTTTTACCCGACACTGCCCCATCCTCAACACCAGGGGCGGATGCACAAACTGATCCTTTTTGTGATCACCTGGGTGGGGATCGTCATCTCCCTAGTGTGTCTAGCCATCTGCATCTCCACTTTCTGCTTCCTGCGAGGCCTGCAGACTGACCGCAACACCATCCACAAGAACCTCTGCATCAACCTCTTCATCGCCGAGCTGCTCTTCCTCATCGGCATCGACAAGACTGAATACCATGTGAGTTTGCGAGCACACAAACTGATACCTGCAACAGCTGTTAGGTTTTTAGTGGTGAATATGTTTTTTTTTTTGCTTGTTTTCTTGGAAAGGAAATATTTTTTTTTTTATTGTTCTTTAAAAGAAGTGCAGTAACTTCTTATGACTTTTTCATTCCAAATCCTCCTTTAAAACTTCGTTGACATGCCTGTGCTCCTAATGAAAGTTTAGTTTTTATGTATTCCAACTTGAAAATGACAGAGTTACAGCATAACACAAGCGACTTTTTAACTTTTTTTATTGAATGACTAAAATTGAGGCAGTGTGTCATTACGTTACTCTATAAAACATTTACTGCCCCGAGTAATGAATTACCACTCAATAATATGCACAGAGCCAGTCACCCAGGGGGCAGCTTTTCATTTTTTCCCCCCCGTCAGTGTCCAGTACTATTAGCTGATAGTGACTCTTTTCTGTCCTCTTCTGTTTTTCGCTCAGTTATATGTCTTAACTTTTTCTTCTCCTTCATCTTAATATTTTCATCCCCCCTCTCTTTCTCCTCTCATGACTCTCTCCCTGGCTGCAACCCTCAGATTGCCTGTCCCATCTTTGCTGGCCTTCTGCATTTCTTCTTCTTGGCTGCCTTCTCCTGGATGTGTCTGGAGGGTGTGCAACTCTATCTCATGCTGGTGGAGGTCTTTGAGAGCGAGTACTCCCGCAAAAAGTACTACTATCTGTGCGGCTACTGCTTCCCCGCACTGGTGGTGGGCATCTCAGCAGCCATAGACTACAGGAGCTATGGGACCAAGAAAGCGTACGTGTGAAGACAGGCCTTTTGCACCTGCAGATTGAGAAGTAGGATTATGCTATTCCCCCAGCTGGAAATGTAATATGTAGTGCTTTGTGAACGGCTCTTGCACCTCCCCACAGACTGGGTTTTCTGAACACACTTAGCCAAAGCCTGATGATTAGCCTTCATATGATAATCCGCTGAGACAGGGAAATAGTATGCGCATGCCTGCCAGTGTGTGTGGATCTGTGTGTGTGTGTGTGTGTGTGTGTGTTTGTTCGTGGGTTTAGTTGCGTATAACTCTACCCTCTCCTCTGTGCCACTCCAGATGCTGGCTGCGAGTGGATAACTACTTCATCTGGAGCTTCATTGGACCCGTTTCATTTGTTATTATGGTATTAGCTTTACTGTCATACAGTATTATTTCCCTCCGTATTTTTCAGTCAAACCAAAAGTATTTCATCAGTATGCTTTCTGTGTGCAGTTATTAGCAGTTCAAAGTAAGTATTATTTTTTTTTAGAGTAGGCTGTAAATTTCACATCACATTTCGTTATTTCTCCCTATCTTCTGTCCTCAGCTCAACCTCATTTTCCTCATGATCACTTTACACAAAATGATCCGCAACTCTTCAGCACTGAAGCCTGACTCCAGCCGCCTGGATAACATCAAGTGAGTTCAATTTATTCAGTGAGACTCACACTTCTTTCTCTTCAAGAAAAATAAAGTTATACCAGATAAATCACACTGTCAGACAAATTCTGAAATGACTGAATTTTTCTATGCATAAATTCATCATTTGGTAACATTTGCTTGTCCACGTCCATCAGGTCATGGGCTCTGGGGGCTGTTGTCCTGCTCTTCCTCCTTGGACTGACGTGGGCTTTTGGCCTCCTCTTTATTAATGAGAACACAGTAATCATGGCCTACCTCTTCACTACCTTCAATGCCTTCCAGGGCATGTTCATCTTCATCTTCCACTGTGCCCTGCAGAAGAAGGTAACAACAACACTTGTGCTTGAAAAGTGACTGAAGTAAGACTTTATTATGAAACACCAGATGAAATGTAAACATATGGACAAATGGATGGATGTATAAGTCTGACTGATGTTCCGCATACATGTTCAGAAGGATCACATTAGGTGCCTTTTTGCTGTGGCTGTGCGATAAAAGCCTCTGTTGCTCCACATTGGCTTCAGCCTATTGAAACTAAGTGTTTGTGTTTACGAGTGACTCTAAAACCTGCCCGCTGTGCCCATGGTGTTATGTTTTTTTTTTTTTTTACAGGTCCATAAGGAGTACAGTAAATGTCTGCGTCACTCCTATTGCTGCAGTCGCACGTCCACCAACAGCTCCCACGGTTCCCTGAAGAACTCCGGCCTGCGTGCCAACAACCGCTACTACAGTGGCAGCCAAGCTCGCCATGCAGCGGCCCACAGACAGGTGCAGGCAGAGCAGACCCACAAATGAAATAGCTGCACACTAAAGCCATACATATCTTTTGACATAGGTTGTGCCACTACTGCCTTTTTCAAACTGTTTTTTTTTTTTTAGAACAAGAAAAAAATAAATCTGTCTGTGCAGCGAGATGATCAGCTTGTTTCAGGAGAATGAAATCAAAAATCAACTCTCTTGATAGTATCTGACTTTTTTTTTTTGACCGTGTCAAAAAGGATGTCAAAACAAAAGAAATAGCTTTAAAACCAAAGGAAACTTCCTCCCTCTGCAGCGACTGTATATGTTTTTTTCATTTAGAAGGTCTGTTATGTAAGATTCTGAAGCACAAAATGAGTGTATCTGTGGGGGTTTGATTGTTGATCAATACCAATGAGTCACAGATTACTTTGCAAAGCACTTGAATTTACTTACTTAACTTACGTTCCTGCCCACAGTCAAGTGCGATGTGCAGCAAGCGAAACACCAGTGTTATATTACATTTTGTGCTCGGTGACAGATTTAAAGTGTGTTATATCATGATTTATGATGCATTTATCAGATGATTCCGTTGAAAATCTGGTCTAATCAGTCAGCTTTGCTCTGTTCTGTTGTAAAAATTTTACTTTTATGTTTCCATCAATTACTGGCAGCCCTGTGCTTAGCAGGGTAGATGACTCATTTATAAAGATATCCTTTGAAGTCCATGTACTATATATAGGCACGGGCACCGTACAAGACATCCGGAATTACTGTACATGCTGGCATATGCACTACGGCACAGACACATACACAAACATTGACAATTAGTCCTCGCAATCAACAAACAAGCTTTCCCACAATGTAATAACATGCTTCCAAATAACAATTGTATCTGCTACTGCAATCATGTCCTACACATCTTGAGCTTATTAGCTCCCCTCATGATAACATGACAAAGCAGTGTGCCTCTTTACCCGACGCCTCAGTCTCTTTGTCTGGCGTGTTTGCCTATTGTTCTTTGCGGATTAGAGCGAGCCCTACAGTTTTGATTACAGCTGCCCCACTGAGTTGCAAAGTCTACCCGCCGTGTTTCTATATTTAACTTGTTGTGTGTTTGCTGCCACTCACTGCGCACTGCTCCTTCTTCCAGAGTCGGATCCGCAGGATGTGGAACGACACGGTTCGGAAGCAGACGGAATCTTCTTTCATGGCGGGGGATATCAACAGTACCCCGACACTCAACCGTGGTGAGACTTTCCCCGATCTCTGCTCTGTTTACTCTTCATTAAATTATGCACACTTAAATGCTCACAAATGCATATATTCTAACATGCTCATATAGGCCTACAAAACAGAACAAAAAATAAATAAATCATGAGAATAGAGTGGACAAAGCAAAGCATTAGAACCACAGGATGATGAAATATATGTTCATATTCCTGCTGTATTAACTATTGATGCAATTTGCCTTGCAGCCATTGAGCCAACCAGCAAATAGCAGTTAGTAGCAGCAATAGTGTAAGCTGAACAACATAATGGTTGAAAATCAGTTGGTGGATGGTGGGTTTCAGTTTGCAGTGTAGCAGCAGCTGCTGGTCAGTGAAAGCACTTAGCAGAAGCAAAAATATATGGAGCTCAGCTGCTCTGTTATGTAAATATGTGTGTAGTCGGTTTATGTGAGTTCATGTTTGTGCATTAATCTTTCAAATGAGCTCCGGCTACTGTAATTAAGCAGATTTAGGTGTAATCAAAGTCAAAAAAAGAGGCAGAGAGACCACTTGACCACATCACATGAATCACAAATTATTTTTTAACTTTCCATTACCTTCAGAAACGGTTATGCGGCCATGTCCAGGGAATGTTTTGACATTGAAGAAGAACCATTTGTCTTCTGCTGTATTTGTCAATTTCCTTTGTGCTTTTCAATTTTTCAGTTAAACAGTATTGCAGAATATTTTGTCACAGTGTCTTACGTGGAGAATTGTATGTTTTCTGACATTATTATAAAAAAAGAATATCTGTATGCATCTGTGCCTCTCTCCCCATATATGTGTATATATATATATATATACCCTCCATAATTATTGATATATTGGTTTTATTACTGGTTAAGATCCTGATGTTCTTTAGCTTCTAGTAAATTCAGTTTTTTTCTAAATAATATATGACCACAATGAAAAAAAAGAGGAAAATTCAACCTTTAATTTAAGTGCATTTATTCACATCCTCACAATCCCACATTAAAAAATAACTCTTTTACATCAAATCATGTGTGCCACAATTATTAGCACCCTTGATGTTAAGACTTTGTACAACCACCTTTTGCCAACAATTCATCTGAGTTGAGTTGAAGGTTACATTTTTCTACAATTTTCCGTGTGAGAGTATGTTTCTGCAATAAAAATTGAATTTATTTTAAGGCTTTTAACACATCTTAAGTTTAAAAACAAACAAAAAAAATGGGGGCAGAGAGAGAGGATGCAGTAGCAGTGTACTATGACTTTAGCAAAAATTGCCAGCCCCAGTTTTCAACTCTGTCCTCCCAGCATTTTATAGTTCCACGAGATTGATCACTTCCAAATACACTATACTGTATATACACACCATGCCCTCTTTGCCTGTAACTCATGTAGTCCCCTCTGAATGTCACACCGCACATGAATAATACTCCAGCAATTATTTAAGATCCGAAGACGTGAAAAATATGTGTCCCAGCCTCAGCAACTGATGGCGTCATCGCTGCAGCAATCAGTGACACTGAGACGATCAAGGTTGGCTCAGGTTCCAGATTGGGCTGGGGGGGTGTTGATCATGACACAGAGGCAGTTGCTAAATCAGCCGTCACTCTCTATGCTAATTTCATCCATTTTGTTTTTAATGAACTGATTAGCGTGTGAGCGAACAGGGGGTAATTATTCTAATTGAGGAGAGTGACAGGAGCAAGGCAGGGGGTGAGGAAGAGGTGTGCTCTGAGTGAGCTGGATGGATGAGAGGTGTGTGTATATTATGTCTCTGTGTGTGTGTTTGTGTGTGTGTGTGTGTGTGTGTGGCCGGGTGGGTCGGTTTCCGGGGCTTTTCGTCACGATAGAGCAATCACCAGGCCTGGAGGAGACACACTATGTGGATCATTCCATGGTGCACTGTCAAACACAAACAACTGTGCTGTGAAGCCTTTATTTTCTGTGCTTCTGAGAAAAGTTTGGCAGAAAGTGAAAGACGAAAGGGAGCGCGGCGGGGAGGGAGGGGAAAAGGGAGACAGAGAGTAAGTCGCTATCATGGAGCAGTAATTAAAAAGGCAAAATCTGGAGGAGAGATGCTGCATCGTTATCACTGGTATCTCAGATCTCTTTGATTTCCCCACTTCACTTCTGTATGAACCACAATCTCTTCCTGACAATAGTAATCTGTCCAGAAGAAAAGCCATGCAGCGCTAACACACACACACACACACATTGCCTCCCATGTTTCCCCTTGCCCTACTTTTCCTCCACACTTAAAGCTAGTTCCTTTAATTTTCTACAGGATATTCCTAGGAGGTACACACAGACAGCTAATCCCAACTAATTTGGTGGTGTTTGAAAAAATTCTGGCATGAGGAACTGAGAAAATGTGGTTGAGTCAACACAGCGAAGCAAGCCAGAGAATGAAGGGAGAGGGTTTTTGTGTGGCATGCCAGAAAGATGGACAGAGGAAGTGTAGTGAGGAGGGAAAATGACAAATAAATAGCTGTCTGTGAGTGCGTATTTTACTTTTTTAGAATTCCCAGCTCCCTTGCTGTGTGATGAACGGTAGGCTGGAGACCTGAAGGTTGCACTTTGCCTCGGACGACTCTCTGTCATGCTGTCCTATTTTTAATTTCATGGCATTTCTGTTCGAGTTGCCTCAGGCTGGAGCCATACATGGGCATTATACAACATTCTCAGTGTGCCATTTCTTTGAATTATATTTGTCTTGTAGTGGCATTCACATTTCACTGTGAAATTAACTGTGTTTCAATGGCTGCACCCTTAGACTACATAATGGCATGCATTACTGTTCTCCCCCATCTGACTACATTGTCAGGAGCCAAAGGAAAAAAAAAAAAAAAGAATGGCAATGCTCCAAACAGTACCTTTCCCCTGCAATTGTATTTTTACTCAAAGGTTACAATCTGCAGGCATAAACACTGAGGACAGCACTGTGAAATGCATTACTCCATAAAGCACTGGCATAACAAAAATAACCCCATCTGAATAAACAGTGAATATTTTTATGATTCCAGATGTTATTAGAGTCTGGAAATGTGAATTTCACAACGTTACACCTATTGTGCGCCATGTTTCTATGCTCCCTATTGCATACATTTAAAGGAAATTTACGATTATGTTTATGATTATGTTCATTTCTTGAATGTTTGTGTCTTGCAGCGACCATGGGAAACCACCTTCTGACGAACCCGGTGCTGCAGACTCGCACTGGTACCTCTCCTTACAACACTCTGCTGGCTGAGAGCTTCACCCCGCCCTCACCTGGTGTTTTCAACTCGACCGGTTAGCTCCTCATAAACACTTCAGTCTGTGTGTGCAGACGTGTCAGCACGTGTGTGTATATACAACACGCACTCAGCTTGCTGTCCTTCTGTCTGTTACTCTGTCAGTAGTTGGACATGGTATATGCACACTCGCTGCTGTTGAGTACGTGCGCGCGTGTGTGTGTGGGTTTTTTTTTTTTTTCCAGACTATGTAGCTGTCAGACGGATTCACTAGGCTGAGCAGAACAGAGCCAAGCAGTGCCTACAGCCTAACCAGCCATCTGGTCAGATCTTGAATCTTCATGAGAACAGCCACAAATTGATTAGGAGTTTAGCTACAGCTGTGGCTGCCAGAAATCTTTAGGATGGTTTTTGTGTTCCCAGGCAGAAAAAAAGTAGTCAGCTTACCTCCTGATGGCCATAGAAAGGGCTCAGACAGCTCCGTGGGTAGGGACAGTCCATCTGGATGTAGGTCGGTCAGGTGTGAGCACTCGCTCTAAGTGTTTCTGTGTGTATGGCCTTGCTTCTGTTGCTAACTGAGACTCAACAGCCTGATAGCTGTTTTATCGCATATCTGTGTTCCCACTCCACTCTTTGGATGGCCGTTACTGCAGAATTAGACATGTTTTGTTAATTGCTCCATTATAGTACCAATAGTCACTGTGTGTGGCCGGTTTTTGGCTGAGTGTGCACCCACGGAGTATCAGGCTGAGTGTCTGAGGACCGAACTTTAAGGCAGCGTTTCTGTTAAATATTTTAAAGCCTCTCTGCACAATACGTCAAGCCTGATGGCCACGGGCCTGGCAGCCAAGTCATTTTTAGAAGAGAGTGGTAGGGGATAGGGAGAGCACTTCATTAGAATGTCTAATTACCCATACCACCACTGTAGAAGAACGTTGATTAAAGTCATACTACACATTAAATTTTTAAAATGAACACGTTTCTCACTTTTTAGGAGGCTGTGGCTTTTGCTTTGCTGTGATGGTAATTTGGGAGAAAAAGCACAGCATCTTGGGTGTGTGGAAGAGAATTCATAAAATAAACATTACTGCTACTCTACAAGGTTCTGTATGAATTATGTATGTATCCAGGTATCGCTGACAGTAGTAAATAAATATCCAGAGTATTTTTCTGAAACTTAGATCTACTGTAAATGTTGGAGGAATATGGTGTCAAACAAACTGGACCTAGTTGCATAAATCAGAGTCAATGTGACTGTGCATGTGTTTGGGCGTGTGGTAGGAGTTGGTTTGATGTGACAAGAAGAGAGAGAGGGGAAAAGGGGAAGACAGGAATATCTTTTACACCATTCCTTTTGAAATGTCTTGAAAACAAATGCATCCAGTTATAGCTGCATCAGTAAAGAACACTTACTTGCTGTTGTCTTTCTATTTATTCACTCCACATGACTTTCTCTGGGATGCACAGGAACCTTCCGTGACCCAAGTAGGTGTAATTAACATTTTCTTCTCTTACTGACATTTGAATCTCACTGTATGATAATAATACCCAAACCCTCTGTCTGTGTTTGGGTCCAGAGAGTACATTATCTAAAGCCCGTGACCCCTGTGGAATGGAAACCCTGCCCTTGAATGGTAACTTCAACAACAGCTACTCCCTGCGCAGCGGCCCAGCGAGTGGAGGCGGGGGCAGCTGTGATTTCCTTGGTGGTGGCGGTGGTGGTGGTGGTGGCGGCAGCGGCGGCGGAGAGAGTCCCCCGCCGATGTTCAATCCTCGTAGCTCAGAGACCCTGGGAGGGGGAGGCATCCGACGAAACCTCTCCGATGCTGCAGCGTTTGAGAAAATGATCATCTCTGAGCTTGTGCACAACAACCTGAGAGGTGGTGTTGGAGGAGGAAGCGGAGGAGGTGGAGGTGATGTAGGGGACAGAGTGTATGGGAGCCTGGCCAGGGGACGTCCTCACGGCGGGGTTGGTCGGGGGTCAGCTGTGGCTGGGCCCGAGCTGTCTGTGAACATGGATGAAGACGAGGACTTTCTGAGAGAGGGACGGCAGCGTACACCGCAGGATGTAGAGCTGCTTTATAAAGCTCTGGAGGAGCCCCTGCTGTTGCAGCGTGCCCAATCAGTCCTCTACCAGAGCGATCCAGAGGAGTCGGAGAGCTACACGGCCGACCTCACAGAGAGCCTGGGCCACAGCGGCCACAGTGGCCAGAGTGCTGGCGGGCAGGGAGGCAGCAGAGTGCCAGACTCCCCTGCTCGTGACTCCCTGTACACCAGCATCACCAACCTGCGAGACTCACCCTACCCTGACAGCAGTCCTGAGCCCCTGGAGGTGGTGCCTCGTTCAGCTCAGCCCCCTGAGGAGCTGTACTACAGCTCTGGGAGGCCCGCCTTGGGCTCTCGTGGGGCCCCCATGCAGACCTTCCACCAGGCTCCACCTCGGAGACCGAGTGGGGAGGGACACCAGGTTCAGGAGCCTGTCCACAATGAGGGAGATGGACAGATGCAGCTCGTCACCAGCCTGTGACTGGAGCCTTTAGGAGGAAGTTGGGGACTAATGTGATGGCCAGAGCCTCCTCCTAGCCCGTCTCGTTCTCGCGTCTCTCCACTTTCTGCTTGTTTGGTTGCCTTTCTTTCTCTTGACGTTTATTAAATAACATATGAGTAAACAGAATGACCTTCTGGGGGAGTCGTGGCTGACTCTGCAGAAGCAGCCTTTATCTTCAACCCCCTCCCCGTTTATGGAGATGAGTGATGGGTGTTTTTCCACAGAGTGTTCAACGGCTCTGTCTAACCCCAGTCGTCCCCAGTTCTTTTGGTACCCTAAGGCCAAGTCCAGCACTCTGAATGTACCAATCCACCCCCTTTACCTTTGGATATTTCAAAACTTTAAAACTTTGTTAAAGTTTTTTTTATGTAATTTCTCTTCAGACCTGCCTCGGGAGATGGGAATATCATTTTATATTTTATCTCATTTCCCTTTCTTACCATCCATAGGTCTTTTTCGAGTCATCATTTGATAGGAGTAGTTAGCTGTGGAGACAGGGAATATAGTAGACTATTATAACCTAAAAAATGTCTCACAGAAAGCTCTTCATTGTTGCCAAAAATATCTTTTATTGAGCCAGAACAGAAACTAGAACATTCACAAGGCAAACAGACACACACACATATACACTCACTCATCTAGAAGTGCTCATTACTGAACATCAAAAGTGAAAACAGTACTCCACCTAAGTAAAAGGGAGCACGAGCTTTTGTTCCAAGCAGGCAGTGGGAGCTGATTCAGTGTAGTTGCCTTCATTTTCTCTTGCTGTGAATTGACGACTCTGTACAGAAGTGGAGTAGAGATGGAGACAGAGACTGAGGAGGCGCTGCACCACCCCTCCAGAGATGGAGAGCCTGCACCCATAAGACTGGCCGATCCTCTCCACTGTTCTCTCTGGTTGTTTGCTTTAGGCATTTGAAAAGTTAAATGACTGCCTTGCTATTGTTTTGAAGAGAGTATTCAATTTGTTGATTGGGTCTACATCCTCTAGGGGCTGCAAGTGTGGATTGGTGTTGCCCCCTCCCCTTGTACTTTGCTGTTAGAGCCTAGCCAGTTGAAGTGGACTTGAGTACCGCGTGTTTTTGTGACGAGAAAGACTGTAAACGTCACAAACGCACTGGCCGACCAATTGGTGTAACCGTGTACATAGGAACCACACGTGAATCTACTTTATTCCTACTATGTAAATAGAGACACCAGATGATCAAAAGCAACAAAAAGTAATAAATACTATGAAAATGACTTCTTGTACTGCAACAGACTTATGAAAGAAAAAAATAAAATGTTTTGGAGTTTGTGACCTGAATGATACACTCTATCTCTCTCCCCCATTTGCTTGATCTCTCACTCTCTCGCTCTTCTGTGCCCCAGCAGCGTGTCATTCGGTGAAATTCCTTAGTTTGTCCGACGGCAAAGAGGAAGGCAGAGATAGAGAGAGATTAAGATGTGTGGTAGGTTTTATTTATACAAATGAAAAATGGAACAAAAAAAAAGAATCCTGGCACAATTTTTATGTGATATAATCCATTACATGTTGTTAATGTTTGACCTTTGACATTCCCAGGGTGGAATTACCAAAGGCAGTGGGAGGTGCGGGGTAAGCGAGATAGATGTTGTCAAATGTCAATCTGTGCATCACAAGCACGGTAAAGCATTGTGGGTGAACGACAGCAACCACGAAGTGATTTGGTTTGTTCTTGTATTATTTGGAAGATATAACCAGATTACATACTTTTAACAACATGGGTTTTAGCATGTATGATAATGACATTTGTTTTGCTATCAGAGAATATTGCATTTTGCTGTTTCTTAAAGATAGTTTCAGCATTACCCCAGAGCCTAATGTGACAATTCATTATTTTTCCTGTGTGCATGTGTTTGTGTGCATGTGTGTGTAAGTACGAGCATATCTGAGTGGCTGGCTATGTGTGCAGTGTGTCTGGTTTGTGAGCGAGTGGGTGTCGTGCACCAGACTTTTGTGTGTGCACAGGCTATTTTTGTGACATGACTTGAATGCACATCAGATGGGGAGGGAGGGATACTCATCTCAGAGAGCTGCCATTACTTTTTCCGCCTCAAATGGAAGTTGCTCTTGCTGTGGTGTTCAGGTACAAGAAGGGCAGGAGAAATCAGGCTGCCTCCAGAGACATGAGGTAACACTTTACCATGAAAATGACAAGCAGGGTTTGACCGATCGGGAGGAACATGTTTCCAATATGCCACCTTATGCAAGCAAAATTAGCTGTCAAGAGAGAGTCGCTCATGAGACTGCCTTCATCCTGCTAAAATCTATTTGACCTTTAAAAAAAAAAAAAAAGAGTTGGCCTTCTTTTACGTTTTATTTATAGGTATTTGTTATGGTTTATTTATCGCTTTTTATGAATGTGTTTGGAATATTTATTCACATTGATTTATTCATGGCATTGTTATTTTTATTCTTTTTTTTTTTTTACTATCTCCTAAACCTGCAGCAAGCAAAGAGTGTGATATGTGGACACGACGTGAGCAGAAAATAGATGCATCTACTGCAGTGTGACATTTGGCGAGGGCCTGAGTGTCCCACTTCTAAGAGAACCCAAAGGACAGCTTTTAGCTGTGGCTCCTGGGGCTGTAAGAGAGAGAGAGGGTTAAAGACAGATAAGGGAGAGGGATTACAAGGATTTGCCACCATTTCTTCTTGTTATTGTAATCACTTGTGTAAGTAACATTGTATGGGCTGCGAAGCACGATGAGGCTCAAAAAGAAGGCCCCGGTATCATCACTTGAGCCATAGGGAAAACGTACAATACTGCTCTGATGGTACACGACTTGGATTTGCAGCTGAACCAAGAGAACTGTCTGTGTTTACAAATGAAAAGACAATATGCACATGTATTCTGTTCTGCTGCAGTGCCAGACAGGTGAAGTGCAGATCTTATGGCTCAGTGGTGGGGCACCGTACCGAGACAGCGCTCGCTGGTCAACCGAGGACAACTGAATGTATTTTAACAAGCAGGACTGAAGATAAAACAATTCACTCCAGGGTGTAAGTGTTAATGGGAAACACAAGATGGCCATCATTATCTTTATCCTCACTGTTCTCATCACCATCATCATTAACGCCATCCTTCCCTCATTGTATTTGACATAACTTGCTGATCCTGATCTCTATACTGCTCAGCTGGGTCTCACCCAAGGGGGAGAAGCACTGTTTAGACAGACACTCCCCATGAGAGGAGGAATGTGCGTCACCTTGGGCCCGCTTCTCTTTTTTTTTTCTTCTCTTTCCAGCACCTCTAAGCTCCTTCCCCCCTCCCCTCTCCCACTTCCAGCTCATCCACATTTTAATATCAATCTCAATGGACTCCATTAGTGCGGTACTTCTTTGAGAGTGTTAATTTGTTTTGTCAAAAGCTTTGTTTATCCCAGATTAATATCTCAATAAACAGAGGAGGGCTGTACTGTGGTAAATGATAGCGATTATACAGTAGAAAGTCCGCGGCCCACGCTGTCGGACGGAGGCTCGCACAATGGGAGTTTCTCCACCATTCAAAGCCCTCCAAACCTCTGATTACAATAATAACACCGTGGGTACTAATTTACTGGTGAGCTCACCCTCTTTCTCTCTCTCTCTCTCTCTCTCTCTCTCTCTCTCTCTTGTTTTCTGTCTCTGTTTGCAAATGTTTTACACAACTCCCTTTCCATGCCAGTGGAAAGCCTGACATGTGTGTACTTCAGTGGTTGTGTGGGAAGTTGTTTAAAAGGTAGGATGCCCAACCTTTGACACAGTGCCGTTTCACTCCTGCAGCTTAGTGTCAGTGGAGAGTGAGCTGTGGCATTGTTCAGTCTATCATTAGACAGTGGTCCCAGCAGGCCAACGGTCTGTTCACTCGCAGTTAAACCTTTCACACTCAGACATTTTTGTGTGGTCCATATAACGCCAGGAGGGTGGTTCGAAGGGGGCAGGATACTGGTGTGTGAGTTCAACAGCAGCAGAGGAGCAGAAGGTCATTATGTCTGCAAAGACTGGCCTGAGAGGAGTCAGAGCGGGGACAACATCAGCAGAGATGTCACAGATGTCACAAATACATGGCCACAGGCAGCAAGAGAGGGAGCATGGCTGGTGGTTTGCAGCGAGGCTGTGCAGGATTGTATCTGGAGATAAGGAAATGGATGTGCTGCTTTGTTTCATATGGCTTTCTATGGCTAGTGCTTTGCGGACCAGAGGTTATCACTTTATGGTTTAAGCTGATCAAGCTGGCATGTCAGATCTCAAGTTCATTCATGAAGCAGATCTGCTAGTAGAGGAAGGGCAATGACGTGACTGCTGTTTGGTCTGATGGATGCTTCTTGAAATGTGAAAATGAATCCACTGCATCAGCCAATTATTGCACGACTATTCGAGTGCCTGCAAATGTGACAGGATTTTCCTAAAGAGATTTCTAGAAAGAAAAAAATAAATGATTATAAAGTAAAGCTATTTTGTTATTGATTTGTTTTTACATCGCCACATGACTTCTATATGGTACTTGGAAGGTAGTTGCTGAGACTATGTAGGGGAGTTGCATTTACACAGCGATGAAGATTTTGCTCTTTGTCTTTTGTGTTGAATGGAGTTGTGTCAGCATTTCAGGACCGTGGCCATCTTTGGTGCACAGTTGGAACCATCAACACAGGGGCTTATGGGTATTATGCTGAGCTGGTGAGACCTGTTTTCATTCAATAAGACCCCAATGTCCACAACCAAAACAAACATATCTTTTATCTCACTGACATGTATACAAACAGGTTAAACAATTTTATACAGTGAAGTGGAGAAAGGTACGATGGTAAACGTTCATTCACATACATCATTAGCAGGCAGAATTCATAGGTGTAATGTTTTTTTTCGGTTTTCCTCCACTGGGTGCACTGTTTCTGAGAGCGGGGAGGAGTTGATCTGTGCCTGCATGTGTCTATCCTTGGCTGTCGTGATCTTCATCCCTGATCGTCCATGAGACAGGCCAGGAAATGCAGCCCCACTCAGTCTGTCATCAGAAGGAGAATAACTGGCTACAGGTGATGTGAAGGGGATATTCTGAGTATCAGCTAAGGGCTGTATAAATAGACTCGGTACAGTAGAATCTGGTCAGTATTAGACATCCCTGAAATGCTTAAGCTTGTGGAAATTAATGACCGGGTGCCAGTGGTTTTGCTCAGCAGGCTGTATGCCTTGATAGAAGGAACCGACATTGTGCCATGTGGAGTTTCCACATATAGCACCGTTTCTAGAGCTTTCTTTGATTTTTCTTTGAAATGGATAATTTATCATGTACCACTGAGACATTTGTAAACTAAGGTAAATATAATGCTTTGGTTCTGTTTCTGTTTTCATTCAGGAATGATGTTCATTTCTCTTATTTGATTTTTTTTTTTTCCCTCACAGTCATTGCTTTGACAGTTGTCTGGGCCAAAGGGGATGATTTTCTGTGAGTGTTTCCATCATTGCAGGTCAGACCGACCTTGTATCAGCACATATTAATAAAAAACTATTGAAAACATACACTGTTCATGCTTGCCGATTTCTCTGGTAACATATTCAAGGGGCTGAACTGTAGTGTGTGTGTGTGTGTGTGTGTGTGTGTGGTCGCGAACTGATGTATGGCATAATTGCTTGAGTACTTTTGTATGTGGCAGTGTGATAAGAGGGTAACAGCACACAGAAATTATTAATCTTCTGCTATTCCATATGCATATAAACTTCAATATGCCTTCCTCACGATTCAGACTGGAAATGAAAAGATGTCTTTAAGCACTAATACAGTGATTATGTTTTATTCATGCACTATCCTGCAGGTCGCTACAACGTTGTGCTGTTCATTTGAGTACCATAGGAAGCAGGGGACTGAAGTCAAGCAGCCCAGCCCCTTCCTGAGTCAGCTCCCCTTTGAACCACACAGTATGCATATGCAGATTTGACCTGGTGGTTGGGATGATGATTTTGTCAAACACTGGTCTGTATCCAAAGCATACTTCACAAAGTGATCAAAGAGGCGCAGGGAGGGGAAAAAAAAAAAAAGCAAGCTGTCAGTTTCAGAGACAAAACCCAGACCGCTGATATTTGGGCAGGGACTAATAAAAGCTTTCTGCACTCAGAGTGAGGGGTGGGAGGGGGGACGGGGACGGGACTGCTTCAATACTAATCTGGAGAGAGTGAGGCTTTGTTTCACTACAGCAACCCTGAGTCAGTATTACCAAAACGAGCTACAGCGGTGCTTTCAGCCATCTCATATGCGTGTGTACGTACATGCAGACCGGTGGGCATACTTGCTGTGCTGGATTTGGCTTTACAAAGCATCAGTCAAGGTTAATTAATCATACGGTGTGGTGTGATCCCTGATGTAATCTTTTAATAACTGCGGTGTGAGTATAGATTACTGACTTATGAATGCAACACTGTTTGCTTGCAGCTGTCTAGTAAGCCACAGCAGCACACAACAGTAGGCGACCTTTAGCACACTCCAGAGTAAGCATAAACATTGTGATCAGCTAGATCAGTTAAGGATGATACACGTAAGTGTCCGGGTTATTGCAGCCCATCTACTGCAGCGTTCCTTAAGCCCTCCTATCCCCGATGTGTGCTCAGTGTTTATCTCCTGCTGAGTTTGGTTTCATGACTACAGTCAAGAGCGATAGGTAACTAATTAACCAGTGTCCAATTATTATGTGCATCAGGGCATAGAGTGTTCATCTATAATTACAGCTTTCGTTCAGCTTTACCTGGTCCATAGATCTGTTTTTTCACAACAAACTGTATGTATGCTGTACATGTATGATGATGTGTGATGACCTACCCCCTACCCATCCACCCATCTGTCTAGCGCCTGCCTTGCTCATATGTCCTTTCAGTGAAGCTCCCTGAGAGGGGAGGCTCTCAGGCCTTGACCATTCAATCACCCTCTTTTTTCACCGGCACTACAGTAACACTTTCACACGTGTATCAAACATGAGCAACAAAGCTTCTAACCCCGGCCACGCTCACTTCCCGGCTCTCAGTCCATTCGAGAGGTAAAAAGGGCATTGCACATTTAGGGAAGCTTAAAATAGAGTCAGACATTGACAAACCAAGACTCACAGCAACTGTCAGCAGATCCCGGGAGATAGAGAAAAGAGATGTATTAAGTTCAGTCTCAATCACTGTGTGTTTGTGTGTTGCTGTAATTACTACCATACATCAAGCCACAGGGGCAACCAATCTTTTCAGTGCTATGACATTCAGTATATAACACCTAAATTACCAAGTGATGTGTTATGTACTTAATGCCCCTTTATTGGTTGATTAATAAACCAGGACAGGATGCTATAAAATACAGTGATAAAACCAAACACAAACGCTGATTGCAATGGACTTGATTTATTTACAGTAAAGCATTTTTATTTTAGATAGATAGATAGATAGATAGATAGATAGATAGATAGATAGATAGATAGATAGATAGATAGATAGATACCTTTATATAGTTAAGTTTATATATAGATAGGTCTAGGAAGCCATTGCAATAAATACATATTAATTACATTTACATTACTCAACAAAAGTAACGAGAGGTAATTATGTTGGCCACCTTCCTCTGTGTTGTCGCACTTATGATTATTTACTGCCCCCTTGTGGTTTACAAGTTGAAAAGTGTTGCTTTGCATGTAATAGCTAAGAAACCAAGATACATCCAGGCAGTGAAATTCAGAGGGCATTCCATTTATTTCAAATTTGATGACAAGAATGCGATTTTGTTTTAACACATCTATTGTAGTTACTTCAGCATTTACAACAATTTCAAATAATCAATTAAAATACAATGCAACTGATTAAATAAGCAATCAAATATAGATATGCAACTGTACTAACGGCAACATTTTTGAATCCACAAATGTGGAGTGAAATGCAAGCTGGTTAACTAATATAGAATAACGTGTTATCAATAAAAAAAAAACAAGGAAACTGTCATTCAGCTGATTGTAAAAGAAAAAGAAAAGAAAAACAAAACATTTACAAACATTTCATTGCTATATCATGCAGTGGTTATGGAGGCAAGCTGTGTATACTTGTGATTGATCAGAAATTATAAAATAAGAAAAAGAAAATCAAGTGCAACAAACTCAAGCATAAATCAAAACCACATAGTTGTATGTAGAATCCCTTTAAAACTAGACATTTTATATAATATCTTTTTAGTTTAGGGACATTTATATATACTGTATTTATATTATAACTCTTATATATGACTCTTATATATGACTCTCTTACACAGATAGGTCAACATTATGTTTTCTCACAGCTATATAGGAAGTACTTTTTCTGGTATGTTTTTAGTCCACCCATCCGTCGGTCAAGCCAAGCATTTAATATTATCTGTAACAAACTTCCCATTATGCATTATGCATTTTTAAATGAGACTAGTGTGTTCCATTTCGTCCATCAAGCTACACTGGGATTACTGCCAGGTGATATAATCATCTGGCGAAATGTAATAACTAGTGTGCATTTAAATGTAATGACCCAAATCAATATGTTATTCGACCTGTTGTAGATATATATATAGGAAGATTGTACTTGTAAAGAGAGAAAAGAATTGCAGGTTAAAAATAATCTTTTACACAAAAATGCTTGACTTGACACCAAAGGAGATTCCAGTAAATGTACTCCATACTGTGACTATCATT